CCCCTGCATCTGAGGCATATCCTGAATGAAAACATTCAGATGTTAGTGTTGAAAAAGTCATGCAAAATAAACCAATTTCTGTCATATTCAGTTGGATTTGATAAAGACATCAGTGTTTAATTTTGCGGCATTAGTGGCATTTCATTTACATGACAAGCTTGAATTAAACGTTTTGAATTGTCTGGCTTCAGCAGCAGCTGTCAACTGGCTCTGTTCATTATTACATAATCGGCTTTGTTTTGGAGGTACAGTCTGGTGGGTGGGAGCCCAAAAGTCCCAATTCCTCTGAGAAGTGACGCCATACAATCTGGTCATAATCTTTCACATGGCTCCACCATTCACAATCAGGACGACATGCATGTGTGTGAGACTTGCTTAAGTGTGTGATTTTTTCAATGTTGTGTACACACACAGAGTGCATCCCTCTCACCATAGAAATAGATCTCCCAGAGCCTCGCCACTTTGTGTTGTCATCCAGCAGGACTGCTGGGCTGCATGAGCGGCTGCAGGAACGGCTGCACGAGCGGCTGGAGGAGCGGCTGGGTATGGGCGGTGGTGGACCATCATTGGAGCTCTGCACCGCCTCATACAGGCTGTCCATAGACCCCTCCTGATGCCATGTGGGCAGATGGACAGACACACAGCTGTTAAACAGTTGAAGTTTGGCAGCAGGCGCAATTTATGAATAGATTGAACCTATCCTGTTGGATTAAGTCTGATGAGTGCTTACATTTCATATCAAGCAGGTTTAATAGGTCACACACTATAGTGGTAAGGGAATGTCCTTCTGTATAATGACTACTTCTCAACTGTAAAGCACACACATCACTTAATGTTGTTTCCAGAGCCTAAAACGGAGAAAACCTAAAGAAATATACAAGACAGTCCACATAAATCTTCGTTTCATAGCCATAAAAATTAGAGTGGATTTGTTATGACTGTAGGGATATGCTACTAATGCTGCTCCAAAGCTTTTTAAATTTGCTTGTCAACTATGAATGTAGGGGAGGATTGAAAAATACTCAATACAGATTTCAGCGTGGATTAAAATGTGTTCGGCTTGTTTGGATTCCTTCTAGGAAACCACAACCAATTTCTCTCTTCATCCACCTCGTCCAGTGTGTACGGTGCCTTCTTATCTGGGTATCCGGTTATTTTCTGCATATTTTAACACTACTTCCCTTTATTCATGCTTCTGACTGTTAATATGTCAAACTGTGGACGTAATCTTGGATATACGAACGTATATTTCACCCAGTTAAGTTTGAGCAGTACCCTTTTATGACTCTTTGTGTGGTTAAACATTAGGCCAAATGATTACCTAAACCAAACTACATATTAAATAATATCTCTTAATATCTCGTGAACAGGTTTGTGTTTGCACAAGAAGTCATTGTACATGTAATGTGGAACAACAGCTACAGAGGGGACAATCAGCACAATCACTGTCAGTGTTTACTGTAGCAAGATGTTAGTTGATCCCCAAAAACGGAAAAGTTTCTGTATACATGTCCTTATGCCCATGTGTAGCATGACAGCTGCAGCAGCATCTGACGGACCATATGTGTGAGAAGTGCACATGTGCCTGCCACCACCCACTTGTCTTTACCCCTGTAGCTTCACTTATCAGTGCTTTAACAATACTTTCTGCTTTCTCCTCTAGGATCCCTTGCATCATGAACACATAAACCTCAAAACATTAAAGTACACAAAACAACTGTATCAAAGCAGATGAGGTTAGAGAAGCATATTTACATTTTGAGACATGATCTGACTACAAACAAGAACACCTGCCACTTGTCACCTGTCTTTGGGATCATCTCTAGCTCATTTAGAGGCTGACACATGGCAATAACATCCCTGTACTTACTTACACAGCATTTTCTGATTCACCGATATTGTTTTTCTTGCTGCCAAGGTCACATTTGCATCACAGGACTAAGCTCTCTTTTCCCCTCAGCTAATCACACACAGCTTGTTCGGGTATATGCAGAAATTAAAGCGTGTCTCTTACCAGCGAAAAGCAGAAAAGGTTCATGTTGGCTGAGAGGTGTCCTGGTGTCGTCTGGCGGAGGTGAAACAGCGAGCTGAGTGACAGCCAGAGACTGAGAGACACAACAGCTAAGCGAGAGCCCAGCTCGGGCCGCCTGCTGTCTCCTCAGATTAATACCACAGTGAAATCCTTCCACTAATCCAATAGATGGACCACCATTACTCTACCAGCTAAAGCCGAACTCAACAACAGGCCCACCATTGGTGGAGCCACAAGAGTAGTCTTTGTTTTGAGTCTGCAGGGCAGCCATGCTCTTTTTTTAAGTGGTGATGGAAGTATTACATAATTTACTTATAATATCCTTTAATTAAGTAACAGAACAACAATGTAAAAATAACTAGTCCATTAACAGTAAAATCCCTCATGCTTAAGTATTGTGTAAGTGTTTCCTGCAAAATGCTTCAAAAATAAAACTACTTGTTCTGTGTAAAAAGAAAAAGCCCCTGTGACTGATATATTATTATAAATGGCATTATCAGATTGTTGTGATGCATTGATGCGTAAGCAGGATTTTGCTGTAGCTGGTGGAATTAGTTTTACTTACCATATATATGATTTAATATACTGTTTTTACTACTTTATATACTGGTAGTTTAATTCAATGGTTCCCATCCTCACCCCTTCCATAGGGTCACAAGATGAATCTGGGGGGTTCCTTAGACGATCAATGGGAGAAGAAAGAAGAAAATAACTGTGTTCTGCTACTAAAACTGAGCGGCCCAAACCAGAAACTGCTTTTTTATAATGAGTCACAAGCCAAAAGAAGAACGAACAATTTATCTAATCACTAACAATGTATTGTATCATGTTTACTTATATGTATGGTAAACCTCTAAGGTGAAAAGTAATCACTGATGCTGTCACACATACCTCTTAGGTATAGTACTGGAATAAATGTATTTTCTACCACTGCCTGCACATTTAACATTTATCAGTCACCCTCTTCATTGCCATCTTTTAGGAAAATATTATTCCAACTGTGAGGTGATGAAAAACTTGGAAGTTAGAAAACAAAAACAAAAAAACAAGTGGAGCTTCATATGCAACAGCCTTGCCCCCATGCAGTTGTCATTTAGTAATAAAACAAACTCACGAGCATGGGGCATGCAAATTCGCCACAGCTCTTTCCTGTGTGGGCAGCAGATGAGAGTAGTATTTTCCGTCACGCACTAAATGTGGCTTTGTGCAGCTACTGGGTTCTTCAGAAAGCAAACAATTCCTCTAAATGATGGAAAGTTGTTACATTTTGGTTTAAAGTGAGGCAAATAATATTAACAATAATAATAATCAGCTTGATTTATAGATCACTTTTAAAACCAACATTGCAAAGTATTTTACAAGAATCAAGTACAAGTTATAAAATAATTGATTTAAAACAATTTCAACCAAAACATGAAGGCAGGCAAAACAAAACACATTTGAGAAATAAAAGAAATTTCCAAAATTTTACTTCAAATGAAATCATGTAAAATCAGGGAAAGCTCTTTGATAGAAGTATGTTTTAATAAGGGATTTCTCTGATTGAGCCATTTTTTTCAAATAAAAATGTTTTGGGTGCAGTGATTTTATTTTTCATCTGAAGTCACTGGGTCAATCTGTGTATCTTTTGGACAAACCCAATGTACAATGTGTGTGTATTAACCATTAACATATTAACTGTAAAGGTCATGGTCCATTAAGCCACCAATCATCCACCGTTGATGTCTGAGCTGCTAAAGAAGAAACAGCTGGAGAGATTAACACTTATGACCCACATTTCCATGCTGAGGTGACAGCATGGTTTGCTATAAGTGGAATGATCTGTGAGTATTTTCAATCATCCAGCTCATTCTTCTTCGTCAACCCATTGTTTTATTCTAATGTTTTATATTTGTGTTTGTGACCTGGCGTGAATGCCTTTGTTTTATTTACGGTTTAAAAAGGAACATGAGTCCTATGTGAACGAGCGTTAATGATCAGAGAAATATTGCAACTGAACGACTGAACCAAATAATAACTTTACCACTAACTTCAGTCCACTTTGCATGGTTTATTGAAGTCTTTTTAAAATGGTCAAATTACTCAGCATATTCTAAGATACTTTCTCTATTCTTAGCTCCACATCAAGCAGTCTGCCTCTGAATGAAATATGCTCCACATTGTTCTGATTCTGGGCATGGGTCCAGGCTGCCAGGTACAGTACGTGTCTTACAGTAACAGGGTGTGACATGGTTGCCTGTTCTCTGGAAACAGGGTAGAGTCAGTGAATGCTGCCAGTCAAGACTCACAGGTCGGCCACATGTGTGGGTGCATTTCTTTGTTTGTTACTTAAAAAGAAACTATTTGCCTGGCTCAGTGGTGAAAGGGGGATGATAAATGAAATATCTAACATCCCTTCAGCATCAAGTCAAGTGGATCCGTCATGGACCCAGTTGGGACATTTGTACTTTTCCATATGGGTTGAACATGCAATTTCCCTTTTTTTCTCAAACAAACAAACAAATAAAAACAAACTAACGCCTGGACCTATAGGGAACCAATTTACCAATTTGCGGCCTGACTGGTTCAAATGCCAGTCTATCACAAATTAATTATGGCCTGCGTGTTTCATGCAGGCAAGGACAATTGGCTTACTGTAAAATCTTAACCCCCTTGATGAATATTATTTGTAGGCCTAATAGGCAACTGACTGTTGGCCCAGTATAAAGGCACCCTGTGGAGTTTTTTGTAAAAAAAAAACACAGTTAGGTTTATATTTAGCATTTCTCACTAAACTGCAATGCATTTTCTTCTATATGAAATATTTGCAGAGCAGATCTGAGAATTTTTAAATATTTTAAATATATTTAATCTATATTTTTGGTTTGTTTACATCAGCCAAAACTCTTCTTCTGCACCGTCTTTTGCTATAGCTACGTTTCTATGTGTATTACCACCAACAGCTGTCTATGATTAGAATAACATGACACCATGGGCAGGATTTTTTATTGCGTCACCTGTGAGATGAACATGAGATTTTTCTTTCCTCATCTTTAACAAATAAAACAGTTGAAACAAACGATAATGATGAGATCAATTTACATATTTATTTTATTATTTAAAGATTTGGAAACAGAGGAAGCAGTTGGAGTCAAACTTTACACTGCAGCAGAGTCAGATAGCGACCCACATAGCAGTAGGCTGTTGCAGTGACCCACTAAGTGACATGAGAAAGGGATCAACTGTGTGCCTGCTCTGCTTCCAGCTCTAGTCCCTTAAAAAATCCTGGCTATCTGGCTACCAGTGTGTTGCGCAGTTTGCACAGAAGGCTATTGGATGATGAAAAGAGGCTAAACAATTCAACATTTGTAGATTTCATTGAAAGTCAAGACAAATCAAAAACAGGGTTGTCCCGTTAAAATCATATATACTAACAAATTATCTTCCATCATGTTCAGATTTAAGCAATTAATTCCCTCATAAGATTTTGATTAATCAGAAAGTGAAAGTGTACGCTGAGTGATGCCTCGGATCTAGCAAAGGTCATCTTGGCAGCAGGTTGTATAAAAGTCCTCTGCACAGAAATCCTCACAAGTTCGAGAAAGTTCATCCACTGTTGAAAAACAAATACGACAATATTCAATGACTAGACCATCCATCTCTCACTGTAATATCTAATATGGCTTTTTCCAATAATGAAAACACACGTATTAAAACATGGACATAAGAGAAGAGAAAGTAAACATAGCAATACGTACGTTTCTGAAAGGTCTTGCAGTATTGAGCTGATGCCGGGCAGTTCGTCTCGCTCTTACAGATGTGATCGTTCTCATCTTCACAGGTGTAGCATCTCAGTGCTAGCACTGATGGGAAGACAAAATCCATCAAAATTTACTATGGAATTTCATCTGCTATAATATTATGAAGTTATATAGGTGACATCAATATAAAATTGGACTGTAGTGGGAATATTGGATAGCTTTTCATTATCAGGAGACATTTGCCCAGCTCTCATCGAGGAAGTCCGGCCACAGGTGTAATGCATCAGTGATCAAATCAAATGGTTCCATTATAGTTAAAGGTTCCTATGAAAATATATTTCCCTAATTTTTTACCTTTTCCTTAGTGTAAAAATATGCAAAAATGTAAACACAAAGTTCCCTTACCTTGAGTGCTACACAGCAGCACGAGCAGCAGCGTGACAAGCAGGACCTTCATGTTGTCAGACGGTATGTGGACAAAACTCCCACTGTGGCACTTTTATACTGGCACACGCCACCTACCAAACTAGAACTAGGTGGTGCCTTGTGTACGAAATTCCAGTAAATGTATTTTCCTTTCAGTTCTACTGTCCCACAGAAAAAGTGAAACCTTAGCAAACAAAGAGTTATTTTATCTGCTTTATTCTCTTGCTCATGAACCAAGTGTTGTGTTGCAGGAAAATCAGCTAGGGTTGCTTTTTACCCTCTCCTATGGGCTGTTAATGATGCCGTTTGTAGCCTCAGAATTTCTAAGATTACCTTCATGTCTGAGCCCTGAACAGGATTGTGTGTTCAGCAGGTTAAACTGCATTTTTCCATTCTTGGCTCTGCACTCAAGAGGACTAATTTTACCCTGACACACTGAACCGGCGAGAAAACATCGCTCAAACAACTTGACAATATGTACAATTGTGTTGTTAGTTTGTCTTGGTTTTCTTGGCCTACAGCCTGAAAAGTCCCTGAAAACATTGCCCCTTTGATACAGTAGGTTGATACCTAAAGTTGATCAAGTTACCTTGAGCATCAGGGTGCAAGTGTACTTTTTTAATTTTTTTTTTTTTAAAGATTAAATAGAAATCTTCATGAATTATTATCTGTTTCCCATCATAATTGCAATTAAGTATTGTCATTTTATCTGTGAATCATTTATTTACCTCATTAATATTACTCCATACTCAGTTAAAGGTGTTTTAATAATGCATCAAATATACATTTGTCCATTTTAAAACCTTGACACAATCAAATAAGACTTCCGTTATGTATATTTCCTTTAATGCTGTGTTCTACCTCACACAGCCTGTGCTACTGGACTCGTCTACTAGATGAGGACGCAACAGCTTGCTCCGTCTTTTCAAAAAGCAAGCTGCAGCAGGGGACAGCGGTGACTGCGTTGTCAGGGATGCAACTGCTAGGGCTCAAGGCAGCAGCCTTGTGGTTTCTCTGGACCTGCTGCACCAGCCTGCATCTAGACCTTAGGAGGCACAAACATTGCGTGGTGATGCATGGTGACTGGAGCAGTCATCATTGAAGATGCTATCTCTCAAGACAGCCTTCTTACTAGCTCTCACCTCTGCCAAGAGGGTGAGTGTGCTCCTCCCAGAGTTCATCCCAGCTGTACGCTGCTTCATGGTGACCACAGTGCAGCAACGTTAAGACTGAACCCCTCCTTTGTCCCTCAGAACTGAAGGAGCTTGTTCAGGTCGAGAACAAACACTTAACACTTTCCATCCCCCGCCCCTCTGGGACCTATAGGGAGGCAATATTGCATCTGTTGTGTCCAGTCCACACCCTTAAGTGTGATTTATACTTCTGCATTGAATCAACAGCGTAGCCTCTGCGTAGCCCCGTAGCCTACGCTGTAGCCTGACGTGCCCCTCCTCAAAAATGTAACACGACACGGATCGTAAGAACTGTGATTGGTAGCTGGATAGCCTCGCAATGCCTCTGAGCCGACAGGAAGTGCCCCGTGCTTTGAAGTAACTTTTACTAGCGGCCAAAACAGCGGCTGTAACACGATGGATCAATATATTTGACCATCAAAACCCGAGCAAGATGACTCAGAATGTGATCCATTCGGTAACATTTGAAAAGTCTATAACAGTTGCACGCATACAATTTTACCCCCATTCACATTAGCGGAGGGCTAAACCAAAAGCCCGCTTGGCCGGTAAAAGTCAACGCAGTGGACGCTATTGTGCTACCGCCAACTAGCATAATTGCAGAACAACAGAGATGTGCGTAACTACGCGCACAGACATGATAAATCACGCTTTATGCAGTATGTGGAGAGCACAGGCCCCATTCGACGTACTGTTCCGCTGCACATCTGTATCAGTGATAGCGCAATTGGGAAAGCCCTATCTAAGAAGCGCCCAGCCAGCTGGCTTTGTGAAGGTATCACACAGCCTAGGGTGGATAAAGACCCACCCTCCGTGGTCTATGCACAGTCCCCCCGTGTTGTGGCAGTGTCGACGGCCCTTTTTAGCAGGATTAAATGTATAATTGTATTATTGTAGTAAATGTAAATGATCAAAGAGATTTGCACACCATCACGTGGTCTTCGCTGCATCCGTTCATGCGCTTTCACCTCTTGGATGTTTCAGGCTCCTTCTCAGGATCTGTGCTCACCAGTGCGACCCAGGATCTGTGAAGAGAGAGAGACCGTTGTCTATTGTAGATTGCCAGTTTGCGAGAACAACGCACACCAACTATGCGTTGGAAGTCCCTGTGAGGGGTCAAGACAGTCTAGCAGATCTGGCTGAATCAGATCCTTCTTGGTCATGCCAAACCCTTATTTATCTAGTGACCTTCTGAGGGGTGGCGCACTGCCGTGTCGCTTAGGATGGAGGCGGTTTAGGGCATATGCCCTGTGGCCAATTGTGTCGGTGAGGTGGACTGTGGCTTGCCGCTCCTGGGCAGTAATCGGGCTCCACCCACTGTCCCCATAGAGCCCAGTAGAGGGCTCCATCTGTGCAAATAGAACTGTGGTTACCATATCGTAACATTTCTCTAATTTAAACTTCTGATGCTGTAGGTTAAACAGAGGTGAACTGAAGTACTTTTTTTTTTTACTGATTTGTCATTTACCTATTATAATTATAAAAGACTTTGTTCAATGCTAATGGTTAGCATGCTAAGATTATTAGCTAAAGGGAAACTGGACAACTACAGTGTTTAGTAAACAATGGTCCTGTATTATCTTGGTTGCATTATGTTTGTAACTGAGAGACGTGAGTTATACCAGCTGCTAGTGTAACTTTATGTTTCTTGTGATTAATGAATATTAGTTATGCATTAGGCAGCGAGATAACTCTGTTCGTGTGATGCAGGGACAATGCTTCTGATTATTGCTCATTTTGTTCTTGGCAGACCACACACTGGAAATATCCCCTTGTTCTTGCGAATCAGTTTTCCTCATTATGATTCACTGTAACTTACAATGCTGTATTCAAACCTGTCTTGAGTGAAATTAAAAAGAAAGGTTGCTTTTTGTAATATCATGTTTTTTTTTACTTTTGATGCTTAACACCATGTACTTTTTTTTTAACTTTAAGTGGAGTAATATTTTACTGGATGACGTTTAGCCTACTTTTACTTTTGTAACATTTTAGTGTGGTATCTCAACTTTTACTTAAATATGGAAATGTTTTCACCACTGAGGTTAAATAATATACACCTATGAGTGACTGACTTTATCACTTTCTTATTTATTTTGTAAGAAACAGTCTGGGCAGACTCTCCTACAAAGAGCTGTGAAATGTTTCCGAGGGTGACCATAACATGAAGTTGTCCTATAGTGACATCTATAGGCAACAATGGGTAACTGCAAGCAGTCTATGTATGGGATTTATTTTTTCTGTCTTTAGTAATACAACAAGGGAAACACATGCTATATATTCATGAAGACACTACAAAACATGCTGTAGAGTTTGTGTTAATTACAAAAAAAAATATCCATCAAAAAAAAATCTCCCTGTTAACTCTAAGGATAATCCAAGGACACACTCTCAGTTGTTTTTACAGAAACAACAGTATTTATTCTTCTTCTGTTATTTATGCTAGAGCTACTTTTAGAGCTGAACAATTACGCTTAAGCGCTTCACAATAAATAAAACTATAGACTGAAAATTGACGTGTCTCCGTGACGTCAGCCATGGGTTTCTGAAGAGCCGTTTTATTTTTTAAAAAATGTATAAATTTTTTTTATTGCAACTCAAATGCATGTATATGTATAAAGTGCAAACACAGACCAGGGGTTAACATATATATAAAATAAAATCAAAATAAAGAAAATAATCAGCAGTTCAGGCAATTAAGAAGTTTACATATATATAGTGTCTCTAAGGCTTTGGGGTTTGAAGAGTGCTGAATAGTTTGTATGTATTGTTGCAATTCACTCATAAATACTTTGAATAAAGGTTTGCAGTTACAAAACTTACTTTTGTGAATGTGGAATTTTGCTAAAATAATGAAGAGATTTATGAGATAATATTGTTTATGTTTTAAAGTGCAGACATCATAAAAACCAAACAGCACATCTTTGTACAGCAGGGAAAAATGGACAGAAGTGTTACAGTTGATATTATTGTGCAAAGACGCTGAAACTCTTGTGGAAGCTTGTCATACTTAAATTGCCCATATGAAAAGTTGAATGTTAGCATTGTATAAAGTCAGCTAACTAACGAGGTGGCCCCAAGCGGGAAGCTTCGGTTCAGCGATCTGATGCGAACACTGAAGTCCCTTAAACCTGCATTTTACTGAACGGCCAGCAGGGGGCGACTCTTCTGGTTGCAAAAAGAAGTCCTGCTCCATTAGAAATAATGGTAAAATGACCCTACTTCTCACCTGAAGAATTACCTCAGTGAACTCTTTCCTAATAAGTTTATGGTCTCAGTTGCTAGTTTCAAGTCTTCTTCAATACAAAATGATGTTGATTTAGTAAATTATTATCGGGATTATCTATGATTGACAAGTCGTTACCATGGCTACCTGTCAATCAGGCTACAGCCGACTCGTACCCACGGCCCTGCGTTCTAACACCTCCAATACGTTTTGACCTCTGTGCGTGCCAGTTTAAAAACTGCAGCTAGCATACTTCTGTTAAATTAGCATTGTTGAGGGTGAGAATAGGTTGGTAAAAAACTTGGGATTGAAAAATATGTTAGGCTAAGGCAGGTAGCACTGCTGAGGAGATAATAGATCAATGTTTACTTGCTTATTCTTGTTCCCCCTTGCCCAGTGGAAATAACGTTAATTCAGGATCTGGCTTACTTACCAGTGTGCTCTGAGCTGCACTAGTGTCAAGAGTTCATACTCAACACCGTCATCATCATTATCATAAACAAGTGTTACAGTCATGCTGAAGAAAGGCCAATAAACAAATGATCGTGTGTAGACAGTCTGAGGCTTCATTGTGTTTGAGCATATTTTACACGTATATAATGACAAGCGCTTTGTTACATCAGCCTCAGGTGCATCTCTAATTCAATACTAAATTTCTTAATTTGTTTTACTATAATTATAATAAACAATACAGTCACACTACATACAGTACACCACATCATGAGTCTTAATCTTTATTTAAAATCTTTATTTGCACACTTACTTAGGTAACAGGCATATAGCTTTCTTCTGTATCAATTAATAAATAAAGGATTACTTGTTAAATTGAATAAAATTACATAAAGACAAAGGTGTTCGATGAAAACTGGCACTTAATGCGTGATTCATGCATGAGGCATAGTCCATTCATAGTAATTATCAGTCATGCAATTCAAGCAGGAAACAATGTCATTCTGAAGAAAAGCAACATGATTAAGTCCTCCATGTAAAATGCTTTTCTGTGCGAAGTTTGCGATTTGTGTTTTGCTCTAGTTTTCTGTGCATTTAATCTGTCTATGATTCCCACAACCCTGAACAGGAAAAATGGATTTCGAAAAGTAACAGTCCCTAAAGTCATTCTGCTTGTTTGACTAAAAATAGCACGTGCTGGGTATTTTTACTGATAATTTAATGTGAATTTCTCAAACAAGGAATGAGTCTGCCTCTCAGAAGAACGTGAAGAACCACATAAGTGTTATGAGGCATAAACATTGAACCACATCAAAGTCACCAGTCCTGTTTTTTCCTGTTTTCGTTAAGGTGAGGCACCAAATATGACTTTCAAAAATGTTCTTTTATACAATCAGCAACAGTATTACAGTCTTTACACAATATGTCATTATTACCATAAACCAGGTCTGTATTTACTTACAATTATGGTAATTACATTTTTTTAGTTAAATTGTTGTTTTTAAAGATGAGATTTTAATGCAGATTATTATAGTACATATGGTAGAATCTTAAAACTGACAAATTCAACAAAATTACATGTTTGAAAATGATGTATCACCTTACATGAGCTCCAACCCAGTACAGCAAAGTTATTATGTAAAATATGTACATTTTTATAATATTATATTTATTATTATAACCAAGAAAGGCATGTTGCAAACTCAACTCACGCAGTGAAACGTCTAATTCGTCAGATTTTCCTTCTTTCTGGCTTCCTCACTGTTGCCTTCGGATGCTTTCTCTGTATTTCTGTGGAACAAGTTGTGGTGACAAATAGAGTGTGTAAGAACTGTAGGTTACATTGTAACTGTTGTTCTCTGAATGAAGAGACTATTGCTCCACCCAGCTACACACTGTTTTCCATATGTATGGGAAATGTCCCCACCCGACAGATGTGGATGATTATTTCCGACACAACTTGTATGCGTGGTAGATCTCTTCTGTTACCCAGTCTAGCCAGACACTCCAGTTTAAAGCACTCAACAGTTGGTCTGTTACCCTGTGGGCCCTTGTTGCCCTGACTCCAGCTATTACAAGGCAAAGTGGGGACTGTCTTTGCTTCTGTTCTCTTGCCTTAGCCCTGCACTTCCCATACCTTTAAGGGTCGATAATGCCTTCCCCCTGTCCAACTGATCCTGCAGAAAAAGTAGGATCATCTAAGACCCACACGTGAGTGGGTCAGCTTGGTTTGCCCCACAACACAATTCAAACACCCTAAGGTATCCCTCATAGATAGAACCTGTGCAGCCTTGATTTGCTAAGATGCTGTCCTTTAAGAAGCCAGGCTCAAAGCCAAAGCCCCTGGGAAAAGGGGTGAAACAGAACTTGGGCCTGTCAAAGCAGATCCCTCTGGACTTAGAGCTGCCACTGTGCTGCGAATATATCTGAGAAGCAGACCATGTAAGGCCAGTCTGGGGCTATCAGGACTACCAAAGAGGGGAAATGCACACAGAAGGCTCTAGAGCACTAAAATAGGAAAACAGGGAGCAGTGGGTCAACTCCTTGAAGGATCCACAACCAGTGTCCCATTGCAACAGCAGATCTGTGTCACCCCCTCCACCTGGAGCCTCCAGTCTCCCGGGCTTGGGCGACCTCCGGACAAGCAGTCTGCTTCCTGATTCTCCAGCCCAGGCACCTATACTGTTTTGAGGATTAGAAGGCATGGAGATGCCTACACCCACAGCTCGTGAGCAATTTAGCAATGGCAAGGGGAGCAAAGGCCTCCCTGAGGTCTATGGTGGCAAACCAATCGCCTGGCTGGTCTGCCTGCCTCACCCTGGGAATTGTCAACATTTTGAAATTCAGGGTCCAGACAAACCAATTAAGGCCCCTGAGGTCTAGGATTGGTCTTAGTCTCAAATCCCTTTTGGGGGTGTGGAAATAGCGGGAATAGAAACCAGCCCTCTGATCCCCTGGCTCTACCTCCCTGACTACTCCTTTTGCCATGAGGGTAGAAACCTCCACCTGTAACACCTCCATGTGCAGTGGGTCCATCACTGACAAGCCTATCAATGATACTTACCATACTGCTACTATTTGCCACACTGTAGGTGGACAGATTTGAACGGCTTGATCCTTCTGCTACAGTCTGGACTGAAACAACCACATATGGCACCTCACCAACCACAGTGCAGCTATAGCCTTGCCAGCCACCTTTGCCTGCTCTTTCATCAGCCTACTGAGCATGTAAGCAATTTGCCTCAGCTCCTCAATAAGTTGTGGCCTGGAATCCTTCCCTAAGCCCTACGTAAGCTGCCATTGATATAGCAAGAGGATAGCCCCTGGATTAGCTAACTGCACCTGGCCAGCCATGGCTCAGTCAAACGCCAGCTCTCATCTGCACCGGGCAGTAGATAAGATAAGCAGATTCCTTGTTATTATCACTTTGTCTTTTCCAAATTCTCTTTTTCCTCTCCTCTTACACTTCTGCTTACACCCATGTCTTGGACAGGAGATTAAAAAAATCTTAAGTGATCAAGCAGACCTGTGCCTGATATACCCGTGTGTGCCAGTACTACGGGGTAGTAGATAACAATTATCCACAACTATCAGGTGGGAAAATTCCCCATACATATAGAATATGCAGCTGCTTGGAGAGATAGTCTCAATTAGATAGAGAACATTAGACACATTATAAACAATATGTCATATCAGAATTACACAGAATGCACAGAATTATGCATTTGTTAAATTACATATTATCCAGTTTATTATGACAGAAAGAAAATACTGTAATATAGAACTTTTCAGATCTTCTCTGGTAATAATACTTTATAGATGTAGAAAATATAGCTTTATCCCCAGAAAACTGCCATCAGTGACCAAAAGTCAAATATCTGACTTCCACACTTTACGAATTTGGAAAACAGTGTTGATCATCACTTTCACTTTCATGTGTTCCATAACATGATTAAAACTGGAGTAGGCCTATCTTCAAGTCTCTGTCATCAATGTCAGTAACATCCACCATGATAACCTGAGAATTAGGCCTCACTGGACCTCATCATTCATCTAAGATTGAGGGCTGGCGAGAAGTCAACAGACTGACATATCATAACCCAGAAACTGGTACATGTATGCACTGAAATTAAAACATCAAATACACATACATCACTACCATATCATTACAACACTATGGGTTTTCAATTGAAACAGTCCTGTGATACTTAACTATATACATAGAAAAATACAAAGAAACTCTGCAACTGCACTTGTGTGTTGCTTTTCATACCTGAATCCTTCAAACTTCCTCTCTCGATAAGAGTCACCCTTTTTCATCAGGTAGAGAAGGACCATATCACAGAAGAAAGCTCCCTGTTAAATTAAGTTTTATTCAGTGATGTGACTGGCAAAATACAAAAAGTTGCTGTTCTTTTTAACAAATGTTTAATGGTACTTACAGCACCCATCAAAGCCAGCCCTGAAGCCACATTGACGGCTGTTGGGATGATGCTGAATTTCCCGGCCTATGAATAACAGCAGAAACACAAGAAATAAAATTATCTTAAAGGGGCGTTATGTAGTTTCCAGCAGCCACTAGCGGTGCGTTTCTAAGATTGCAACCAGGTGTGTGCTCGTACGTGTGCTCGCTTGAACTGCATAATCCGAAACACAGCCACTTTCATACAGAAATACCACAATAAACACAGAAACACCAGCACGCAGGCTGTGGCTTTTCACTCAGACATGTTCAGGCTCTGTTACTTCAACGTTCCCGGCTCAGAGGCGGATTAACCCCCCGCCACCGTACCTTTCATTCAGCAGTGTGACTATGGCTATAGACAGGCAGGGAGAACAGACAGAGCGGGAAACTCAGGTAAATCCATGCTCGCGTTACATGATAACGTTACATTTCCTGCGTTTAGCCGACGTGCTACATCGTTAGCTCCCCTGCTGCTTTTCAGTAACCATCTTTACAATTTGTGAATCTGTCTCCGGATGCTCAGCAATGTCAGCACATGTATTGGATGATAATGAAACAGTTAGTGAGCTGGAACGGATATTATAATGACATTGTGTCACACTTTAAAACAGTTAGACCGCAGTAAGTAACTTTACTGGATGGCTCTTCCTCTGTGTTGTTGTGACCGTTTTGTTGCAGTGTTTTATGTTATGTGGATCACGTTAGTTACAGCGACGGAGAGGTGGAGAAGCTGTGTATCTGAGTATTGGTAAAACGACAATAAACCTAAACTGAATGTTACGAAGAACACAGCAGCAGGTCCGACCTACTGTAGCGTTAGCTGGCTGCTCCTGACTGCATCACTATAAGCTAACGTTAGTAAACAAATCACTCCACATTTGCTTTTTACTGTTACATGTAACATGGATCGCGTTAGTTGGTAAAGTAATGTGGAAAGCGATATAACTTTGCACAGGATAACATTAGCAACTGCTCAGCGTTAGTCGGCGAGCTAACGTGACTTTCTCTGTGTTTCTCCAGTTTTACTAATGCTCACTTTGTTCTTACTCGACATCATCTGAACCTGTTTGGTCTGATGGGCTTAAGCACATAAACCTTTATTTTTGTTTTGTATCCTTACGTGGAGCCTGTGTTTTGCTGTGAGCCGGTTGTTTTATGGTGTTAGGGAACTGCATGTCGTTAGCTGCAGTGTTGTCGCTGTAGTCAGAGAGAGGCTCGAGAGCGCGCGCAGGGCTGAATGCGACCCGGAGACCTCACATTAAAAGCAGAATAGTGGCTGATGCAAGCAACAGATAAAACAGGCGTGTGCTTCATTTCCAAGTGAGTTTTGAGCCCACTGACAATAAGGCAATGACAATTTGATTAATTTCATTGACAAAATTACATATAGTCCCTAGAATTAACGGTTATGTCTGTCTTTTATAAATGTCTAAATATATTTTTAAATGTCTTTGAATGTTGTTTAAGTAACATGTCAGAATCACGGTCTACTGAGACACAATAAGATCATAATACATCTTATGTGCATAATTCAAGACCCAACAAGCTTTTGTCAGTTTGTTGTTATTTTCTGTGTGTTGTGTATTGCATTGATCACTTAAATCATGTCCCATCATAAAGCTTTGGCAAAGTAGACAGCATTTTGTGCATTCACTCTGTAAAACACGTTTTCCATACCTTTCCATGCACCATGATGTTAAATCGGACACCAAAGACTTTGAAAAGGGATCGATAACTCTCACCAGCAGCATTTTTGAAATACCGAGTATGTCTGTTGGGCAACAAAAGGGAAAATATGGAGTCTTGAGAACACAAACAAATAATATGTTATATAATGTTGAAGATAATGAGAAATATATGTCTGTGCAACATAACAAGATAGACTAAGACCTGAAGTTAAATCCCGTAGTGATGGTCTTGTTGGAGACACTGATGTCTAGCCGAGTAAAGCGGTACTGTGGATGGCAGTTAGAGTAGCCTTTGTCAAGGTCACAGTCCCACTGTATCATAATGCCAATGGAGCCACCCTGGAAAACAAAATACAGACTTTATCATATGTGGCTTCTAAACCATGTTAATGAATCATGGTAAAGTAAAGGTAGTCTGGCTCCCCTTGGTGCACATATCTACACATCAGTCTTACAGGGACAATGGACATGAACACACTGATGCTCAAACCATAATAATTAATAAGACTTTTTTGTACTGCTTCTTTAGTATTTGCTCATTTACTCTCGGCCAAAATTATTGTGGTGGAAATATAATAAATATAGACAAATAAGTCCACTGAAGTGTTGCCTATAACTATTGCAGCATGTAAACATTAGGGATGCATCGATATACCTTTTTCTTCTCCAAATTTCTCAACTGAGGAAATTTGCATGTACAGAGGTACTGATCTGAAACCAGTGCTTGCCTTCTTTTTCCCAAATTAAAAACCTGTTCACCTCTCCCACCATGACATAATGATACCTGAAACAATGAATTTAATGGTAACATGAATAAAAAACAGTGGGTCTAACATAGATATCTGCTACGATACCAATGCAGTGGGTCTTATTGTGCATCCCTCGTAAAAATCAACAAAAGCATCTTGTTGTGTAAGATCATTCCATCACAATCAAGCAAGATCTCTGTACATTAGGAAACACTGTTTTCAGTAGACTGCTTATTTCACGTTTCAGTGACATTTTCTTAGAGAGAAAGCCATGAAATGAATTTGCTTCATTAATCTCTATGGTCATTATTTTATAGATAGTGGATCTGTATGGTTTAACTTGTGAAAAAAGAAAAATTTAAGAATTTGTTTTATTTATAAAAATGGCAGCTGCTTTACCTCCTTAACCCCTTTTTTTGTTGTATGCTTTACCATTCAAACCTATCATTTGCTCTTACTTCTTTTCAACAGACGTGATTTAGATGTAATGGTGTCTGGGCTGTTTTTTCTTTTGTTGTTCTGACACAAGCAAAAAGAGTATCTAAGTATCGAAGAAAGGCCATGTGATACATTTACTCATTTGGCAGACGCTTTTATCCAAAGCGACTTACATTTGAGGAACAACATACAAGCATCAACAGAGCATCAAATACAGATCTACAACTGACAATACATACTAGTAAGAGCAGCAATAAATACTAGTACGAGCTCCTGGAACATATCACATCAATGGGGTAAATTCCTAGGGAAGGAAGTAAGAGTTAACAAAAAGTGCAATCAATACAAGATAATTGTAGGGGATAAATTAACACAGATCTGACTGATCCAATAGGTGCGTCTATTCCAGTAAAATCACTGGGATTTAAAGTTGTGACATTCACCAACTGGTGACTATAAACAACTGAAAAGCATAATACTAACAAATGTGGCCAAGTCCTGGAAGTTGTATCCAGCTCGCCTGGTGATGTCTCCCAGACGAAAGATGGGGCAGTAGGGGTTGAGCTCCTCATCATATCTGCATTTCCTCAAATATGAGCCGTCGGTAGTTTCAAGGACATTGGACCTCAGAATTAAGAAACGCACAGTTGTTAATGAGTCAACACTGCTCACAGCTGTTTCCAGTTAACCAAGCAGTGCATAGAGAATGTATGCTGAGTATTGAACTCAGACGAAGAGTACTTACTTTGAAAATGTGAATTTAGAAAATTGGATGAAATTCTTGATATAGATAGTGAAGTTTCCAGCGTTTGTCAGTAGAGGGCGTCTGTAAAAAAAAAAAGAAAAAAAAAAAAAAAAAAACACACAACAAGGCATTGTCGTCTTGTATTAATGTATTATTATGTAGCTGCCCAAAGGAATGTGCTAAACTAAGCTCCATAGATTACATATTGTCATTGTCAGATGGGAATCTTGCATCACAGAAAAGTAAATTTTTCAGGGATTGTTGTCTGTTTTCTGTCACTTGTGAAAAAAAAATTGGAAAAAAGTTTTTATTTAACTTTGGAAATAAGTTTTTAACAAAGCTGCTTAACAGTCACCTGAGAGACAACAGCATTGTTATAATTACCATAGGGTCATTCTCTCCAGACATTGGCAGACAGAGAGGTGGCACCTTTTGCACAAACAGATGAGTGACACTACGGGGGTAGTGACGATATTCTTCACTGTATATACATTAACATGACTGTGAGATCTGGATGTGCTCAGGATTGTGTATTCAGATGTCAGACAGAAACACCACCATGACTGTGATCTCAGGACCTCTCTAGGACTGTATGCTAAATGCTAGAATTGAATCAACATTTGTAATGATGTCACCATGTCTCTGCTCTTTGGTACTAGGGTAGAGAGATGCTGCATGTTGGGAGAGGACACCATTCTCGGCCCCCTGTGCTGCACGTATAAAGAAATGATTCATCACACAACTGACTCAGTTATTCTGTATGTTTTCTATTACACACTATACAATGGAACATGTTCCCAACAGGGTCTTACCGCCAGGATTTTTAATACTAAGAATAAAAATATAAATAAAATAGGTACCTGATGACATGTATGAACAAATGTGTTTATGCATGAGGGGGATCAAATCCATTAGAATGGTGAAAGAATTCTCAATTTCTTACTGTGGTATGAATTTTCTTTCAATGGGACACCAGCCGTAGATTTCACAGGTACCGATGGATTTTTCATCTTTTCTTAAGCATCGGCCACTCATGATTCCTTCACACAAACAGAAGACACCCTGAAGCCATCCAGTTTATCATGTGAAAAGATATGGCATTTCAATATATGTTGTCATTGTCTGTATATATACACACACACACACACACACACCAAATCACAAATCCTCTGTTATTTCCAATTAGCACAAAGACTCAAACAGTAGAAACAAGTTCTCAAGGAAAGTATTACTCTGATTATTTGTATGCCAATTTTAACCACTTGTGTTATTCTACCGTATACATGTTGCACTCATTTTCATTTATTTGGAAAATACCATGACCCAATTTAATCTTGTTAAATTTACATCTCAGAGTCAGCCAGCTTAATGGCGTATTAAACCAGTGATGTTTATGTCTTACCATTACCAGCCACTACCATCTTTCCGTCCTCACAGTCTTCATCATCTCGACAGTGGCCATCCAGCACTTTGAGACTCTGAAAATAAATGCCGCAAAAAGATATTCAAAAAACAAAAAGTTAGGCATAATATAATATTTAATCATTTTGTCTTCGTATATCAACAGTTTTCAATTTCAAAACAACTTTATTAATCCACAAAGGATTAGACACAATTAGATTTGGGACATACGTTAAGACAGACAGGAAACAGAAACAATTAGAATGACTTACCAAGAATATTTCTATTCATATCATACATATGTAACTTTGCATCCTTTTTTTTTTTTTTTACTTTTCCTGGCAGATATTGGCTGCCATACAAACTACATATATTGGCTGTTTACTTAGAAGTGAAATATTATGAAAAGGGGTAAAATCACGTATTATATGGCCAAAACATATACTATTAGAGTTAGTAGATTTACACTATATTTGAAACAGTGGGGTTGTGTGAGGCTTTCAAATAAAGATAACAGGTTTCTCTTTTCTAGCAACCCAATTAATATGAAAGTGAAAATGTAGTCAGGGGTGCATGCCCGTGGCTTTTTCCTAACTTACTGGAACAGACAGTTAAAGGATCCCACTCAAGTGTGTGGTATCTTTTCAGAACCAGGAGAACTGCTATTGAGGAGAGCAACAATGTATACAAGAGCAGTGTTTTATGGCTGTGTAGTGCTTGTACTGGCTGGCTAGTCTTCTTGGCTTGTTATAGTGAGCCAGGAGACCAAGAGATGCCAAGTTTACATACCAGGAACCCTCTAGAAATGTGTAGTGAAAGATATAGCTGAGAGTAATAATGGACAGTGTAACTGTAGCACACACTCATTAAAGGAACAGCGAGTTGTCATCCATTTTTAAAAGTTAAAACAATAAAAATAACATGTTTGTCTCTGTAGTTCACTGAAATGACAATATATCAGATAAGGTGATCTTAGTGTTGCAAAGTTTCAGTTTATTTGTGTTTTTTAATTTAACTCAAGTACAGCACAGTTCATTCACTGCTCTTCCCTAACCTAGTCATACATCGCCTACTGTATCTCTGAAACATGGCCGGCTGAAATAGTTTCCAGATGATGAGATGTCAAACAGTGGAGAGTAAATAAAGTAATCTTAAAATAAACAGTTAGATTCAGAGAGCTCGGAAATGCGAGCCAAGTGGTGTTTTGCAAAGAGTGTCTAAATAACACATCATTCCCTCCAGCTAGCTGATATTCAACAGAAAACTCACTAGTATCCTTACGTTAAACAAAACATCATGTTTGTCTCAAAATTCAATCTGGTGCAATTTAATTTTATTTATGTGGTGTAAATTCATAACAGTACTTTTCTCTTTGCACTTTTTATAAAGAGCAGGTCTAGATCACACTCTTTATAATATTATTTACAGAGACCCAACAATTCCCACCATGACAAGCACTAGTCGACACTGGCTAGGAGAATCTCAAGTTCCACATTACTTTTGTAAAACAATAGTAATGGTGGTAGCGGTGCATTAATGGAATATGAATGCAAACAGATGATGAGGGAGAGGAGAAGACAATCTCTTCTTTTATCAAAGAAGAAAATCTTTAGCCTACAATTAGAATGTGGAGATTGTGTCTGGCCACCAAACCCAAACTGGGATATGATTCCACAGGAGAGGAGCTTGATAGCTGAAGGCTCGGGTTGAAGAGAGGAGCTGGTGCTCTTAGGCAGATGGCCCGAGGGTTGGACAGGGGTAGAGCAGGAGTCCTAAGGCAGATGGCTAGGGGCAGAACCCTCTGGAGGCCAGAGACAAAGTCGGAGACCTCAGCAGGGTCAGGAGGTGACAGGACACCAGACACAAGGAACAGGAGTCAGCAGGGCTGCCGACAAGGAACCAGGAGCTGGGCAGTGGTGACTCTGGTGCTGGGCAGCAAAGGCTCTAGGGCAGTGGAGGGGCATGACAACGATTCCTTCTAGAGGGCTTCTCTGAAGGGTGCTCCAGAGCCAGATTAGGCAGAATTCTGGCAGGTTTAGTGCTAGTCAACTGGGCATCTGGCTAAAGGCCAGCAGTCTGGGTACTGTCTTGCTCTACAGGAAGGTCTAGCAAAATGGACATCAGAGATCTGTACAAGAGAAAGTCTTGACATTATTGGGAGCCTCACTTTCTTGTGAGGAAGTATCCAGAAAGGAGATTAATGTGAATAGCTCTGACAGAAAACAATCCAACACAGGAACCGGGACAGATAGGAATTGGAGCTGGCAGGAGTTTAGTAGGCTGGGAAGCTGACTGAGGAAAAGTCTGTGGCCCACTCAGGTATGAAATCCCCTAGCCAAGACTTTGAGGAAACAGTCTTGATGCCAGAGACAAGACTACCTTCTATGAAAGTCACTGATTGCTTTCCTCCACATATCTTTGAGCACCACCTGGTCCACAAATTAATTCACAGAGTTCATTGGAATAAGTGTCTACTGGGTCCATGATGGCCAGTTTGTTCTGTCACAATAGTGAAGCAAGGATCAGCATAGCACAAGGGATAGGACCCACCATCGTCAACCGCTTATCACAGGGTCACGGGGGGCCGGAGCTAATCCCAGTTGACATCGGGCGAAAAGGCAAGGCAAACCCTGGACAATCGCCAGTCCATTGCAGGGCCACATACATATAAACAACCACTCTCACACAAACCTAGGGACAATTTCAAGTCGCCAATTATCCTAGGTTTGATGTCTTTGGACGGTGGGAGGAAGCCAGATCACCCAAGAGAACCCACAGCATGCAAATTCCACACAGAAAAGCCTAGGATGACCAAGGTTAGAACCCACGACCTTCTTGCTGAGAGCGACATTGCTAACTACTGCACCGCTTTGCCACTGCAAGGCCTGTATGCTTGACATAAAAACGGAAGGGAAGCACTATAGACACGAGAGAGGTAACAAGATAACAATACACAGGTTGAAGTCATTAGGGAACTCGTTACTCATTATACTGACAGTCAAACCTTGAATGAACTGTGAACACGGTAAAAGGATTATAGGGCTCACAATGTGGCTATACATAGCAATGTTGCTCATATGTTGCTTCAAAACATATTTCTGCTAAAATAAATGACCTCAGATTCATCACACTTTTACAGCCTAAAGTGATAATGAACTACTTCATCTTATTTTGAACTTGTTTAATGTTGTTGTCTGATGTTTTTTCTGACCTCTGCCTTTTTCTGATATTGGTTCAAGAGAGAAGGAACTCAATCTGTATGCCTTGCTTAGGGTTTCGCCTGTTTCTCCACCACCTGCCCATCTCATGCCATCTGCCTGCTTGCTCACAATACTGCCAGCAGAATTCACTTTTTTGCACATTTTTGTGAGTTTGTAAAAAACAACAAAAAAAATTCCATCTCCTTGTCTGCAATTGGGTCCACATGATAATTAAACAGATATTGGCTAATATTTATGTTTCAGGGTTAAATTTGTGATGGCTTTTATTGATTGTTAAATAGTTTTTTTAATGATGTGGATAAAAATATATATATTTGACAAATGTGAACACTGCACTGCACTGTTACTATGCTAGTATTTAATAAATTCAGTACCACATCATCATATTATGTTATCAAATATGAAAATAGTGGTTAGCAAATTAGATCTAAGATACCATTCATTTTTTCAATTCCTATTATGGTCACTGACCTGTGAGAGGGTACAGTTTCCTCATGGAAATACTACCACAGTGGTCTTAACACACAGGCTGTGATTTACATTTAAATCAACTGTACTTAATATTCTTACCTCAGCGCAGTATCCCAGCTTCTGGTTTGGCGTCTCTAAGAAATTGGTTACAACAAACAGAACTGCTTCACCCTATATATAGGGAAAACACTGTTAATTAGAAAATGATGATGATCACCTGTTCCTGCCAACAGACCTGTCCCTCTCAAAATATACAGGCCTACTGTACAGGCAACTTCTCCAACACCTGTTTGCTACATTAACGTATTTGCCATTTAGTGTTTGAACTATTCCTCCCTGAAACCTGCTTTTTGATTTAAACTTGCCTGATATCTGCTACCTGGCATAATGACTGTCTCTTGTGCACAACCGTGAATTGATGGTGTGGCGTGAATGTTTTCACCTGTGGTGGGATGACATAGTCCTCCGGTCCCCACACCAGCAGACCAGACTCAGTGGTGTTAGTCACTGACACTCCCTTCAGTTTAGTTATGACAGAACTCTGGATGGCCTCGTCTGTTTCCTGGTAGCCTTTCTTGCTTAAGAAAACCCACCTGTGGGTGAAAACAAACATTTTGATTTTATGTGCCATTTTTATTCTCTCAGTTTGATTTGAACATTAAGCTAAATACAGATTGTGTGTCGTATTTTAAGCCTGCTGCTTTGTCTTTAATAATCAAGCACTTTATAACTTTTGTTCTGGAAAGGTGATAAGTAAATAAAATTAACTTACTAGATCAGGCCTACTATAGCTTTTTGATTTTAAGGGTTTTGCTACAGGGCACTGAAAAAGTGTACAAACTCTTGTACACAAAGACATTTTGTGTGACAATTGATAGTGTAAAAATCACTTGTCCTACCATAGCCCTGACTAAAAATATATGGTTTATCATGCCTTGAAATCATCATCAAGGTCAGTCTGTAAACTGAATAATGTAGATGTATTATACATTAATCAGCAGCCAATCCGTTTAAGCAAGTTGCTGCATGTAAGTTTATTTATTTTTTATAATTTACATATAACCTACAGCGCGATTTGGGTCACCACAAACTCCTAGCAGACATACATTTCTATATTCAAATTATGATTATTTGCTAAAGGTTGAGTAATGTTTCACTGTAAATGATTGCAGTCAACTTACAGCAGTACAGCTCCAATGACAATGTTTTAACTATAACGTATTCCTAAAATTCAGCGCTTTACTGCTTAGGGGCGGCTGATCAGAAGATGGGCCAAACTGCATGGCAGCCTCTGCCATAAGTGTATGAATGTGTGTGAATGGTGTGAATATGACATGTAGTGCAAATCACTTTGAATGATCAGAAGACTAGAAAGGCGCTATGCAAGTACAGTCTATTTACCAAAAGCATACTGTTAATCAAATTTAAGGTGTGGTTATTTTCAAGTTAATAATTGTATCAGAAATAAAGTTTAATGAAGAAGATTTCCTTTGCTGTAAACTACTGCTTACTGCTTCAAATATGTGCAAGTGTGGTTGTTATTCTTAAACTTAGTTGAACTATTTTGTGTTTTGAGCATAAATTTATTTGGACTATTCAGTTGTATTTAGGTTGATTTTTAACATGCCGTTCTAATCATAGTAAATATTTGCCTGTTCATCACATGACACAATTAACTTATCAGTTAATTTTTCAAACCCCCCAAACACTGAAATAGGTAACTGTCAGGTGAACTTCCGAAATGAACGGTTATTTTCTTTCTTGCTGTTTGAAGAAACACTATAATTGTTCAGGCGCTTCACTGGAATAAATCCTGAGAGGCACCACTGCTGGATGGGACATCCTGTCAAAGAAAACTGGCAGTCACCAGCAAAAAGACACCAACAGTCAATCTTCATATATCCACGCTGCTGAGGAGACTCATGGAATGGGACTTTAAGATGGGGAGCTTACTCAGTCCCATTACTCACATAAAGTATATTTATCAAAACACCAGCTTGTGTCATTCCTCCAATTCTTTCTCTCTTTCAATCTCATGCTCCTTTTCTGTTCCTATCTCTCTTACAGAGTAGAAAGTGTGAATCCCTCTTCCATTCTCTCACTCTTGATTTTATTTTTTATTCTCTTAATCAGCCTTTTACTTACGACGACATCTCACATTGTCATACCTTTTATCCTTCCTGTCATTCTCTCTGTTATTTCTGTTCTGTTTCTGAAACTACACAGCTGTGTGAATGTTCCAGGCTGGGATGTTTGGGCTGGCTGAGTGCTTAGCTCAGGGCTCAGGATATTCTTCCTTTGGATTTTCATGTTTATGGTCCACATTATGACAAGAGGAAAGGAAGGGCACACTGATTTTACATGTGAGAAGTTGAAATGAACGTTATTTTGGAACACATATTTCTGTCTCTCACATGCAGTCAGAGGGCTACCAAGGCTGGAATGAGAAGTGGTGTCTTCAAGTGGACTTCTGCACTTAACCATGTGCCTTGCCCCTCAATATACAGTTCATATTTGGACATGATGTAACATGTCTGGTGGTGTTTTGTGGCTGTTGTTGACCCTGCATAACATTTTTATTTAAAGTTCTTGGCATCACAGACATGCCTTAAGGCTGGTCAATATTCAATGTTCACATGTTACATGATATGATTGCCCTGCCATAGCCCTGACTAAAATGTGTAATCCATTCACTTTATCATGAAATCGTCATCATCAATCTGTAATCAAAATAATGTACATATATAGCAGCCAATACGTTTATGTAAGTTGCTGCATTAAATTCTATTTATTTCTATATATAGGCTAACCTACAGTGCATAAAGGTCAACATAAACTCCTCACAGACATACTGTAATATCTATATTTAAATTATGATTATTTGCAAAGTAAATGTTAAGTAATTTATGACAATAAAAGCCACGACAGTTATCCACTTACCCTATAATGTAACCGATGATAGATAACTGAATAAGTCTGTACAAAATCCCAACTTTCTTATTTTTGGCGACAATGTATTTTTCCGTTTTGTAGTCGAATAAGGACAGAAAACGTCCTTTGAAGAAGCTCCCGGCCATCCTGCAGCTGGCTACGGACGGTTGGTGTCAGTGCAGAATGAGTCTTGTGCTGGTTCACACACACAGCTTCAGTGCAGCCGCTCACAGCATACAGCCTGCAGGAGGCGGAAACACGCACCCCCGCTGCCCAGGTCTCACCATCCCCTGTTATTTAAAAAAAGAAAAAGAAAAAACGATAGCAGCGACGTGAGGTTGGACTAGATGTCATCTCAGCCTCTTAGTGGCGCTAGAGGAAAAGTCAGAGGATTCATGAACAGTAATGTCTGTACTACGTTTCATGTGGTGGATGATCAACTGACTGACAGACAGACCGACAAACATTGCCATAAATAAACATTTCACACTAAAAACGTTTTTTCCAGCATAAGCAGACATGTGAGTGTGCAACAATGAATCTATGCAGTTGTGTAGATCACCAACCATCATCAACCAATATCCTAAAATAGCATTTCCATTATAAGTGTAGTGCAAGATTAGGTCATCTCTTCGCAGTAGAAAACTGACAGTAATTTGTATGTCTATGAAGATTCTCAGTCATCCAGGTCATAGTTATCCAACGAAGGTTAAAGTCAAGGGCAACTGGACTTGGTTGAAGCTACTGGAAGACGTTTCGTCCCTCATCCAAAGGACTTCTTCAGTTCTGACTGACTGGCAGGGAAACTCAGCTATTTAACCTCAGTGGGGTCGTTGGCCCGGGTCATCGATACCGCTGGTTCGTTAGTGTTCCTTGTTGCTGTGACGACAGTCGTTACAGGTTAAGACTACCAGTGGCCAAGACTGAACGACCATCGTTGGTATCTTCACCTGAGGCCTATAGGTTCCGTTTGTTGAGTTTCCTGGGAAGAGATGAAAGGACAGCATTGTAAGTGGGGGATCTTCCAGTATCTTCAACCAAGTCCAGTTGCCCTTGATTTTAACCTTCGTTGGAGTAATTTGTATGTTACTGTGTTTACTGTGTAGTAATGTTGCATTCAGAATAATTTTAAAGGGACACTCCACCGATTTTATTAAGTTCAATCGATCTAAAAATACGAAGTGAGCCATACTACATATGCTACTGTTGAGAAAGGCTCCGTAATGCTGTATTTTTAGTTATTCACATAATTTCAAATATCAACAGGACTTACAATGAGTTTTCTTACTTCTGCTACAGAAATCACAAGTTCTGGATTCACTTCAGCTCTCTGTAGAGCCTATGAAAACAGTTGTGTAATGTCATCTGTGGCTCTGAAGTTGTATTATGGAAGTTAGGATACAGAGTTTTAGGTGCTACATCTCTGCTGCTTTAATTCTGACACCTTTAGCGTAAAATAATTACGCTTTGTCACTCTGAAAACGTTGGTGATGACGCACTAAGATGAGAATGTGTTGCTGTCACTCACCAGAAGTACCAGGGTGAAAGGAAAAAATCCTATGAATATAATGATGTAATACTCATAATTAATATAGCAGAAGAAACAGTATTTGGACCTGGTACTTCCACTAGCACAGACACTGCAAAGTGAAGGTTTGTAGCATTGAGACAATCAAGTATCACTAAAAAGTACAGAAATTATATCAACAAAAAGAACTCGTCAAAATAATTTGTAATGTAAAATGACATTTCAGATTGTTGTATTCATTCAACGACATTTTAATGTTACAGGTGGTCAAGGCAGAGCTAATTTAAACAGAAATATGTATTTAACAAATCACAGATTTTATGTTAGTTAAACATGAACACCTGGGTTTAAAAATGTGCTTCTTTTGCTTTACTTAGCCAGGGGACAATACACTTCGACATTAGCCTTAATCTGTTTCATCTCAAGCCTTACCTTTCCCGGAAACATCAACAGGAAGTGGTCTGGAGGAGACAGTCATGACAGGCCTTTTAGATCATTATCTGCATGTTCACTGCTTTCAAAAATTTATTATTAGTCATTTGAATTTCTATTTAATTCTTAGTGTGATCATCACACAGTCTGAAAAAAAAGTTGTCAAACATTGACATGCTCATGTGAAACAGAAAGACGGCAAATCATTTCCGTCTAACTATATGAAATGTGATGGTATTGTGGTTTTGTCCCATGATGCTTAGAGGGGTTAACATACAGCATTACCCCACTGCTGCTCACACTGTAGGAGACTCTGACAATGAATGCAGACAGGTGGATTTTCCCTTTGGCCTTGTGCTTTGTGTGTGTGTTGTTGTCAAACGGTAAGTGATTTTTTGAAATTAGAGAATTGAATTGGTAATTACTTAGATAAAAATGCATGTGGATGTATATGTACGTATATGTGCGTTGTCCAGTCAATTTAAGTTATCTTTGAAGTCTTGCGCTTGAGATATTTTAATTTACATACTGAAGGCAAGACAAAATATTTCTATTCTGTATAGTGGATTATCATATCCATAGTATTATAATTAAATATATTTTATGTTGTATATATTGCAGGTGAAATAAATACTAAAATACACTGTTCATTGATTAATCTGGTAACATTAGGATTATCTGTGGGCACATTATATCTGCTTAAAATGTATTGTATTACCTTTGTCAGTTTCAGTGTTGTAAATGTTATAAATCAGTGTGTAATAAGGTAATTCATGGTTAACCATTTGATATTTGTCCGGTAATATTTAAAACTTTTATGCTCAAACCTGACGGTGAATTTGAATATTTCTAGACTAGATTTTAAAGATATACAGTAATAAGAAAGAAGAGTTCCTGCTTTTGGTAGCTACCCTTTGCTTTTTGAGCACAAGATAATTGACCTAAACCTGAAACTTGTTCTTGTAATTTCTCTCTTTCTGTTAAGATGACTACTTTGACAGTAATTGTGAGTATGCAGATGGTTGTGAGACACAGTCGCTCAGTGCTCTACTTGGATCCTCGGTGCTCCTCCCATGTTATGTTTCAACAAGGAGCCTCATCGATGTGGAATGGGCCCGAACTCCCACTGTGCACGTGGTCAACTTCACATCTAAAGGCCAGATTGTGTTCCATGACCACAGAAATGGCCGGTTGAAAGTCTTTCCAAACCAGCACTCAGAGGGGAACTACTCCATCTGCATTGATGACCTTAAAAACTCTGACCTGGGGTGTTATCGCTGTCAGCATGTCAATAACTGTCTTCAAGTGGAACTGGTTGCTGAAACAGGTAAGTGTTGTTAACACTGAACAGCAGCCTGTGCAGAGAGGTGAGACCTCTTCCTTTCCATGGTCACAAACCTCATAGGAGGACACATGAGCTAGAGTTTCCTGTGAAATGCATTGTAAAACCACAACTGATCATGCAGGTGCAGAGAAAGACATGAAGCTATTGATTTACATCTGTGTTGGTGGAGCTGTTTTCGTCCTGCTGTGTGTCTGTGCCTACTACTGCATGCGATGCTTATGTGAGTACATGCCCAGTGTGGCTCCTTCAGTCCACACAGTTAATAGAAGAAAAGTTTTGTCAGTTCATTTGATGGATGGATGGTTATTTAAATACCCTTTTTGTTTATATTTCAGTGTCGTGTAATAACAGAACACAGGACAATACGATCAACCTTGTAGGTTTTGAGGGTAAGCAAAAATTTAAATTTGACTATTTATATTAGATCTGTACTGTAATTACTGTAGAATGTCACTAGATATTTTTACATCAGAGCACAGGAATGTAAGGTAGCTTGTCAACATGTTTAAGTGATTCATTGGTCATTGGCACATCCTAATTTTGGAGGATTGCTGCTAAGGTCAAACCCTCTCCTTCTAGTTATAGGACACACATCTTTTTATCATTAATGTGACTTATGAAGCTCATTTTTATGTATTTGTTATTTATAAGCCCATCATAAGCCTAGTGGTTTCCTCTGCTGTCCCTGACAACTCTGTCCCCATATTCACGTCTTATTGTTTAGGCCTCAGTTACATAATAACACGTTCACATTCAATCCACCATTGCTGGCAGTTAAAGCTAAATAAAATCCTATAGTAACACTAATAAAATTGATTTAGTTATTGTAAATATAACCATACACATACATTTTGTTTGTTGTTATTTAAAGTAGCTGATGGCCATTTTAATGATGAGGCCACTAATTTACACATTACCATGTTTGTTTAATCTGTACAAAATGCAGACTATTACTTGTTAATTGGATTTTAGTTCACTTTGGACAGAGCCAGGCTAGATGTTTCCCTGTTTCCAGTCCTTGCTCTAAGTTAAGCTAACTGACTGCTATAATGTAGCCTTATATTTACCAGACAGATGTGAGAGGTATCAATTGTCTCATCTAACTCTTGTCAATAAAACAAACAAGCATATTTCCAAAAATGTCCAACTATTGCGCTATGCTGCTTCATAGAAGGTCATAATGTCCCACTGCAGGTGCCAGTGCTCCACCTGAGGAAGCAGGCAGAGTACCAGTAAATCAACAGCAGGGAGGTATCTATCGCAATTAATATAAAACAAATAAATGATGTAGGTTTCATTATATATGTATGTATGTGTTGTGATTTTTGTGTTATTGTACACAGTGTGTTTCTTTTCCTGCAGGAGCAGACAATCTTGTTTACGGTGCGTTCAGACAGTTCATCTTCTTGCTCTCTTTGATCACCTTGTTAAAACAGCCATTGTCATTCAATCCAGCCTGAACACTACTAATGTCTATATCAGCACCGTCTAATTTGATCTTTCTTAAAATTCAGAAAATGACGACCAAGCCCCAGCCCACTGCCAGGGTGACCCCACCAAAAATCCTTGCAATACACCTGGAGCTCTGCCTTATCTGGACAGGACTCAGAACATTCAAAGCATTTACCCAGACTTGAACCAGTGTAACTCTGAGACGGTGGAAAGGCTGCCACGTAAACAGAGGTTTCACGCAGGTGCTAAAACGATCTAATTGCTGCACTTTTGTGTGAATGGTGATTCATCAAATTATTATGAGAATTTAGTCTTCTTCTTATTATGGAGTAATTTAGTCTTCTCTCACCTCTCCAGAACTCTTCAGCAGATTACGGCAAGCAAGTCTCAGTCGACATTATTATGGTAATATATAATATTATGTTATGTTACATCATTTAAGTACTGTCAGGAATTTACCTTCATTCATTTCATTTCACAGTTAACCAAAGTGATCTCAGCAAGCAAAAAGCCTCGTCAACTCAGGCAGGGAACCATCGCAAAGGTATATAGATTTGATTTGTCATGTATCATCTGTCAGAATGATGCATCTGCGTGCGATATGCTGATGCAAAAAACAAAACGAAAAACAATTCATTATTCATTGAAGTGTTGCATGTTGCAGGAGGTCCCGGGACAAAGAAAGCCAAAGAAAGTGAGTGCTGACTTCATCTATGGCCATGTTCGGGATGAAATGATGCTGTGCTCTGAACTGCTCTCCCACTTCTCTGTTGTTTCCTTCTCAGATTGTGAATACAAAAACCCAATTTACAACAGGAGCACGGAGCAGCTCAACCGACTGTAAAGAATGAAGGACAGCTTAAATAGCTGTGCGCACATTTTCACTGTCAACATCTTTTCGCAATCATAGTTACTGCCATCACAGATTAAAGCTGATAAGTGTCTCATTGTATGTGTTTGTTTTATAATTGCATCGTATTTCACTGCCTGTTCATCTATTAGACAGTGAGTGCTGTTTGGTAATGTTCATCAAATAAAGATTTTCACATGCAAAAAAAGATCAAATCAAGAAGCAGTGTGTTTATCTGTCAAACCTGTGTGTGTGTGAGGTGTGTTTCATACATGTGATTAACAAAACAGTTGAAACAAACCAGTATTTTGTGACCATACAAATTGCTTTTATAATCTCAGTTTGACTTGCACATAAAGTTACATTTATCTGATGCTTTTATCCAAAGCGACTTACAATTTCTATGCATGTCAGAGGTCGCATGCCTCTGGAGCAACTAGGGGTTAAGTGTCTTGCTCAGGGACACATGGTCTCACCGTGGGAAACGAACCCAGGTCTCCCACACCAAAGGCAAGCATCTTATCTATGCACCATCACCACCCTGGTGAAAATATAAGCCACAAAACTATACTCACACCTACAGAGGCATTAGAGTTTCTGGTTTACCTGCATATCGTAGGGAGACCACACAGACTTCAGAAAGGCCCCAGCGACCAGTTGATTTAAACACAACACCCTCATGCTGTGAGGCGAGGGAGTTTTTAGAGTTGCTTTCACCCTCATGGGTGTCGCGCCAATTAAGCCAAATGAGAAGCAGCTGCGCCACCTGTCAGAGAGTCTCAGTATCCAAAGATGAAGGCCTACAGTAAATACTTTTTGGTGACATTTATTTCATTATCACTGCTTCTTTTGAGATGTGAAGCCCATGCTGCTTCAAAACAATTTCAACCAACTATCTATAACACCATGAATAATACCAAATTGATTTGCCACGAAGGGTTCATGTCTGTTCGCATATCAAAGGCACAATTTGCTGATCTTCCTTTTACCATTTATGTCCAAGGTAAGTCAGACATTAAACATATAACTTGACACTAACTTGAAGTGTTTGCTATGCTCCTGTTTGTGTCCAAATGTGCACACAGATGAACACGCCGGGTATCACCAAGTCATTGCTCTAGCAAAACAATGCCACTACTTCCTTCGAGAAACTGACATCTTTATCATCTTAACCGTTGCTTCCCACGGATGCTTTGTGAGAATACAAGTAAGCTGTCTGTTTATTTTTAATGCAGATGTTTACTATTTTTCATATTCTAATCTGTCTTTCCCACTTTGTCCAATAGAAATATATCACAATTCTGAATGTTGTCATCGTGGCACTTGCAGAGAGGGGAGAAGTTGAAATTGTCAAGTCAATACCTCTCATCTGTGAGAAGAAAATTAAAGCTAGTAAGTGTACAGATAAATATCATGACATTGTGTTACAGAATATTGTTTATTATTAATTCTCAGTGGGGTTTGTTTACTACAGAGGTGAATGAAAATGATCATCCACCTGTATCAAGACATTTTTTCTGCACCAGGGATGGGTTCAACATTACCATCCCTCAGAATGCCACAGTCCCACCTCTGAACCTGGATGCAGTGAGGATCCCTTCAGGTCAAAGACGCAATTGTAAACCCCAACAAAGATCCAAGGATGCGGTCACGTTCAGCTTTCCATTCACTGATTGTGGCACTCAGTCCATGGTAAATGTAAATTAATTATCTCCACAGCTTTTGGATGGGTCAGGTGGTGTTTTTGTGAGTAAATATAAGAGGTTTGGTTGTGTCTTGCAGATAGCAGGTGGGATTATAACCTACTGGGTCAACATTGAGGTGAAACAAAATCTGCAGGGAGGCTCTATATTTCATGACACTCCTTTCCAGTAAGACATTAAAATGTTCCACTTCTTACTTTTTGAAGGCAATGGACACTCATTTCAATTATTTATTTTTTTAAGTCTTACTGTGCGGTGTAGCTTTGCACTGAACCAAATTAGTCAGCTCGGCATCGAGGTTCAGGGAGAAACGTCCCTGTCGACACTGAGGAGCGAAGGAATACTGAGGACTGAGATGAGGTTTGCCAAAGGTCAAGTTTATATTTTTATTGCTTTTCATTCCTGACTGTGTCTGTGTATGTTTTAATTAACAAAATATCTTTAAATCCATGTAAAGTGCCATCAAACTCATACATACACCAAAAGTAATGAATCACATTTACTTTGAATCTATCTATCTACAGATTCCAGTTACAGGTCTTTCTATTCCTCTCGTGACCCTCCAACAGTGACTGAGCTTGGCCAGCCTGTTTACGTGGAGGTGTTTGTTCTCAAACATGAGGACAAGGATTTGGTGCTGCTGCTGGGGGACTGCTGGGCGACACCGACAAAAAACCCACATGACCCACACAGATGGAACCTGCTTGTTAAGGGTGAATCCATGTGAAATTAATACTATAGTTTTACATACAAAACCTCAGTTTTATGTAAACATATTTGCTTGTTACTTTGATCAGCTAAAGTTCAGGTTTGTATCCATTCCAGATGTCCTTTCAGTGGTGATAGCCACACAACTGTTGTGTTGCCAGTTGTCTCCAGTGAGGAGCTGAAGTATACCTCTCTTCATAAGTGGTTTGTGGTCAAGCTCTTCTCATTTGTGAAGCCCCCAACATTTGAAAACCTGGTATGTGAGAGATACTAAAAGTAAAATAAATAAATCACTGGTATTTTTAGCCTTGGTGATTTTTAAGAAAAAAGTAAAACGTATCTCCTACAGGTATATTTCCACTGTGATATAGAGATCTGTAAAGGACCAGATTGCTTACAGTCATGCAGCAATAGTAAGTGGAGCCGCAGTTTATTTGTCCTTTATGAATCTGACTTAGTTACTGAGTTACGCACTTGGTTGCATTTAACACTGTGAACAACAGTCTCTGTTTTTTCATGTCATTCAGGAAGGCGCAAATTAAGAAGAATCACCCCAGGGCCCGGGCAGAGAAATCTTTACAGTGTAGTCTCTGGTGGACCTCTTTTTTTTCTACTGTAAATAACTGTCCATTTGTGATGAAAATAAATCAATGCCTTACTACAGTGGCGTAAATATGCAGTTTTTACACCATTTCCACTCTACCAACTCGACTACATTGTGGATTTTATTATTTAACATAAACAAAGTTTTAATATTTATCAATCAGGGTTTTTTTTCTCTCACTGCACTGGCTCTTATTTTGGGTGGTGTGCACCTATCGCACCTATCTATCGCAGTAAATAAAATAATGGCTTAATAGCCTACTGTGGGCAGCAGGATCAAGATTATATTTCTATAGAGAGAATATAATTATTCCTATTAATCAATAAAGAAATATTAATTAAATGACCACATTTAATATATTAATATTTATAGAATTGATAGACTCAAAATACTTTGAGTTCTATTCAAAGGATTCAAATGATAATTTATAAATATGAACGTAAAGAAATCCACTGACGTTTTAATGGTTTATGTGTACGATTATTTATATAAATAAAGCTTCATTTAAAAAAAAAAAGGCTAGAGATTGGGTCATGTGTCCACAACCCGACCAATAGAAACGCAGAACGGGTTAGTTTGCGGAAGCTATTGAGCGACTGTGTCGTCTTTGAAAAGAGAGGAAGAACTGTGAAAGAAGTTACTACTTCATAAAGTTTAATACTGTCTTAGGGCACAAACACAAACTAAACCGTGTACCGCATGATTAACGTCAGTATTTATTTCGTCTGCTCAGCTCCTCTCACTGATAACTTAGCTGCTGGAAAAGCTAGTCAGAGTTGGCAGGTATGTCCAAATCAACGAGATGGGACTCAAAAGAAAAACAGTCAAAACACCTTCCGATCTATAAGTACAAAGCCAAGCTGATTCAGGCTGTCAAAGGCAGCACTTTCCTGGTTGTCACCGGTGAGACTGGCAGCGGCAAAACTACACAACTTCCACAGTACTTATATCAAGCAGGTAAGCTGTCATTTTGCTGTCCTGTCCCTGGTAATATAAGATGCATGTGAAGGTTCTCAGTCATCCAGGTCAATCTAACACGATTTTGTTGCTTTAACTAACACAGCAGCCCAAGCCTATGTGAATTTTGTCAAGTTAGGATACAAAGGTGACCACTGGATTGTTATATGAACCACTTGCTCTTCTTTTTCTGTAGGTATCTGTAAAGATGGCAGTATTGGCATCACCCAGCCCCGCAGGGTGGCTGCAATTACAGTGGCCCAGAGGGTAGCCCATGAGATGCAATGCACTCTGGGTAGAGAGGTTGGCTACCAAGTCCGCTTTGATGACTGCACGTCACAGGTGAGAGGCAAACACAACCCATCCCCTGGACAAAACATAATGTATATTGTAAATTTTTGATGACGTGACTGTGTTTGAAACCAGGACACGGCGGTGAAGTACATGACGGACGGCTGTTTGCTCAGAGAGGTCCTGGCAGATCCTGTACTTTCTCAGTACAGTGTTGTAATCTTGGATGAAGTCCATGAACGCAGCCTCAACACTGTGCGTCACTATATGACACTCACCCAATGTTGTTAACATTTAGAGTTTCTGCACTTCACTGTTATCTGCATGCAAATGTGTCTTCTTCCTGTCAGTGCACGCTTTGAGTAAGTGTTTGTGTAACAGGATATTCTCCTGGGTTTACTGAAGAAGATGTTCTCCAGCCCTGCTAAGGCCACCAAGGGCCGAGCTATCCCTTTGAAGGTGGTGGTGATGTCCGCCACCTTGGAAACGGACAAACTTTCATCCTTTCTCGGTGACTGTCCCGTCTTTGCTATTCCTGGGAGGACTTTTCCCGTCACCTGCACATTTGGTTCTGCTGTAGGACCTAAAGACATAGAGAGCACTGGTTATGTAAAAGAGGTAATGAGTTTCACTTTAGGGTCAAGTGTTTCTGGTTTTCTTTGTTGCTACAGTGGGGGAAACGCATACTCACAACTTTACAGTCATTACCGATTAATCAAATTTAGATATGTTGTTGTAGCTTGATACTTGATGTTGTTGGCATTCATTTAATTTGACATCTTTTGCTCCTCAGGTTGTCAAAATGGCCCTTGATGTGCACACCAGTGAAATGGCTGGGGATATTCTTGTGTTTTTGACAGGTAAGTCATAATTATCAAGCTAAGATCACAGTAAATCTTAACCTTGACAAAAATCTGCCACATTAATTCTCCATGTTTGACAGGTCAGTCAGAGATTGAGCGTGCCTGTGACTTGTTGTATGAGAAAGCTGAGACTATAGACTACCGCTACGATGTACAGGACCAAACCGTGGAAGGCCTTCTTATTTTGCCTCTTTATGGTTCCATGCCGACTGGTAAAATACATGCCACAGCTGTTACATCTTATTATTTGCCTAGTAAAACAACATTTATCCTTTTCTGTCTGGTTACAGATCAACAGAGGCAGATCTTTCAGCCTCCACCGTCAGGAATAAGGAAGTGTGTAGTGGCCACCAACATTGCAGCAACATCTCTCACCATCAATGGCATAAAGTGAGTGAGGCCTGTGGTCACTGGCTGTGTTAACCACTGCAACCATGTGTTTAGGCAACAGTCATTTAATTGTTTCATAACATCTCTGCAGAACACATCATCGACCAATTTGTTTCCCATAAAGGTACATCATAGACAGTGGGTTTGTGAAGCAACTCAACCACAACTCAAGGGTGGGCATGGATATCTTGGAGGTGGTGCCAATTTCAAAGTAAGTTTCTGAATAAGGAACCTGAAAAAAAGGTTTGTTAAAGTAATTCTGCTGCTATTCTGCACCCATTAAGAAGGCTTGCCAACAGAGATTTGGACTTGATTTTTCGGGATGGGCGGGGATTTTCTGTGATTAGGAGCGAGGCTCAGCAGAGAGCAGGCCGAGCTGGAAGGACCTCAGCCGGGAAGTGCTTTCGAATCTACACCAAGGAATTCTGGGAGAAGAGCATGCCTGAATATACAGTTCCAGAAATCCAGAGGACAAGTCTGACCGCAGTGATACTCACACTCAAGTGCCTTGGCGTTCATGATGTCATAAGGTACACTGATACCTGTTCGGTGTCTTTTTGCTTTCTTATAGTTCAGAATTTCTTAATGCTACCTTTACCTTCTTTAGTAATGAGTTGATTTCCTTTAAGGTTCCCTTATCTGGACCGTCCAGAGGAAAGGTTTATTCTCGAGGCGTTAAAACAGCTCTACCAATGTGATGCCATCGACAGGTGAGCGTTTATACCTGTGGACCTGAATCAAGCTTTTAGTTTTCTGAGCAAAGCAGTTGTGGGTTTATGTGATTTTCTGTAAAATGTCAGCTCTTATGTGTATGGGCTGTAGGAGAGGTAGAGTGACCCGACTGGGGGAGCTGATGGTGGAGTTCCCCCTGCAACCAGGCCTTACCAGGGCCGTGCTCAAAGCTGCCTCGCTCGGCTGTGAGGACCTGCTGCTCCCTGTGGCCGCCATGCTGTCTGTAGAGAACATTTTCATCAGGCCAGGTCAGCGAGTTCTGCTTTAAAGCAGAACAAAAAGCATGTGCTCAATTTAAAAACGATGAGAGAGGGAAAAAAACACACAGCACTTCCAAAAAAAGAATTGTGTTATCTATAAATTTCTAGTAGCGGAGACACTAAACGTGTCTCTCGAACATAGAGAGCCAAGGAACATCTCAATTATTTACTGATATGTTGAAGTGTAGTGTGAAGAGCTGAGCTTTGAATTGACACAGCTTTGACTGATGTCTCCCTTCCTGCAGGCCACCCTGAGAAGCAGAAAGAGGCAGATAAAAAGCACAGAGCCCTGGCTGCCAAGAGCGGCGGTATGAACGACTTTGCCACACTCCTCAGTGTGTTTCAGTCATGTAAATCCAGGTAAACAACATGCAAGGTGCGCCCTTAATGTTTGTTTTTGCGTGTGCAAAGAAATATCAGTGTTAGCCTATCACTTGCTATGTATTCAGGACTTTGTGCTGCATCATGATATATTATCACACACGACTATCAAAAGTGCAAGCCTATCTATTGCATTCTGCAGTGACCGACCCTCAGCGTGGTGTAAAGATAACTGGATCCACTGGAGGGCGCTGAAGTCAGCCTTTAGTGTGGAGACTCAGCTGCGAGACATCCTCCTCCGCCTCCAGAAGGTACAGCAGTTCACAGAACTCATTTTCACACCACTGACTAAAATGCTTGTGTGGTGTCCGAACAATAATGCTGCGATGATGTGTTGAGAAGAAATCCGCTTGACACTGTTCTTGATCATAAAAGTTTATTAAATCAAGGAGTTCAGCATCAATTACAAGCTCTGCAACAGCTTGGAGAGTGACCCAGCCCGATGACCACTCTGTCTCTCTGTTCATCAAACATAGCTTATATAGGATATGTTTAGGTATCTGTTAGGTACCATAGAAGGGTTTGAGTCTGCAAAGTAAAAGGTCAAACCCATAGAAGGGTACAGTACTATCTTGAGGTAACAAAACAAGGGGTTAGAGGTCAAATTCTATAGAAGGGATCAGTCTCTACATAACCACCAATCACTGCTCTCCCCGTAGAACACCTCCCCAAAGGTCACTGACCCTCTGTCTTGCTGCTACAGTGCTATTTTTATATTGGATGCTACATTTGAATAACCATAATGAAGTTCTTGGCAGATTACTGTGGTCACATATTCAACTTGGTCATTTCCTAATTTAGTATTCTCGTTACCAAGACTACTCTGCTGTGATAATTCATTTGAGTATAATTTTTTTTGTGTGTGCATGCACCATCTGTCCTTTCAGAAGAGAGATTTTCCTGTAGAAACATTTGATGGCAATAAGAGTGAACTCTTCAGGCGATGTCTGTGCACCGGATACTTTACCAATGTTGCCAGAAGGTATCATTAAGGCTCATTTAAAATAATCCATATTCAACTCTTCTTTGGGATTCTCTTATTATCTCTTAGTAATGTTTTACTGGTTGTGAATAATTGTTCAGTTTTTTTTTTCTTTTCCATCCCACATAGGTCTGTTGGCAAGGTGTTTTGCACAATGGATGGCCATGGATCAATGGTTCACATCCATCCATCATCATCGGTAAATTGAATTTAAATCAGAACAGTTTGATTAATGAAACCCAGTTTCATTTGGAACCAAAATGTTCATGCTTCTCCTCTGATTTCTCCTTTCCTTTCTCCTTTGATTCCTTGTTGCTCCAAGCTGTTCGACCAGGAGGGTGAGCTGAACTGGGTCATCTTTCACGATGTGTTGGTGACCTCACGGGTGTATATTAGGACCGTGTGTCCTATTCGATATGAGTGGGTGAAGGACTTATTACCTAAACTCCATGAGGTGGACGTCTACGAACTGAGCAGTGTGGCAAGAGAAGAAGTGACTGATGAGGAGATGATCAAATGGGAGACCAGGGAAGCGGCCAAGAGACAATCAGGTTTTCAGAATAATTAATCAGATATTTAGTTTGAAATTGTGATGTAGTACAACTTAATGGTTAATTTAAAGTGTTTGATCCCTGCCATGACCATGCATGAAAAATAAATAAGAGTCCACCTAAAGCCCTAGGTGCATTAAAAAAGGCAATTTGGGCATGAAAATCTAAATTGTTTTACAGACTGAATGAAGTTAAAACATGGTTAAGCTGCGCCATTTACAACAAACTAATCAATTCCTTTGTTTCTGTTTGTCAGAGGTTTCTACTGAGGATGTCATGAAGAAGCTGGAGAAGCGAAACAACGAAACCACTGTCAGCGATGCTCGTGCTCGCTACCTGCAACGAAAGCAACAAAAACAGCAAAGTAAAGCGCTCTGACAGAAAGTGCTTGCTTTTGAGGACATTTATCATGCAATGTATCACAAAGGAGCATTTGGGGGAACTTGTATCTGAATAATAAACATTTGTTACATTTATAACAATGCCTGTCTCCTATTTAACTCCTCCACTTTAGTATGAGCACTTGGCTTCATGGGCCTTTGACATGGTTCTCATCTAAAGAAAACTGGTGCTTTATACTTAAACAGTGAGCAAGTTGAAAGAGAGCAGTTAGCTTAAAGAGGCGGTGGGAACACTGGGTTAGAAAAAGACAGTATTTGGGACAGTTGCTATGACTTATTAGGTGTTTATGCACGGCCTATCTCTCAGACAATCTGCACAACACCGGCTCTGCGGCTAAGGTGAGGTTAAGGTTACAGTATAGTACTTGATGTACTTTCACACCGGCTGTTCAGGTGCAGTGGACCCTCTCTGCCCCCGTGCGTCACTTCCTTTTGTGTGCGTCTGCTTCACTGTCTGGCTGGGACGGAGGGTTTCCACGCTAAGCAGGCGGCTACCGACATCAAACCCATAGAGCGGTGGTTTCATCTGTCCATGGTTTCGAAATAATTTGTAGTCGTATTCAATATAACTATCCATGAAGTCGGAGCTCAGTGGACTTTATTCTCTCGCTGGCTCGCAGACGCTTCAGTGAACTACTGCAGCACCAAGAGACTAAGCACGCCGCCGCCGCCGCTGCTGTTGTGAGAGACGAAAACAAGCTCAGTGAGCAGTCCGGTAAGCTGTGTGATCATTGACAGAGTTCAATACACACACGCTTCAAGTGATAGCTGGTGCGGGATACCACTTGGCGTCTTCAAGAACCGACAGCTGGGAAGATTTAGTCGCTGAAGACAGGTAAGAAAAGCCGGGGCATTGAGGGAGCTCTAGCGCAAGTGGCTAACTCACATGCTAACTAGCTGTTAGCTTGAAAGCTATTTTGGCTAGCTGCCTTGTTTGGTCGTAATGCGGTTATGGTCAGTGTCCTCACTGCTGTCTGACGCGCTACTTGGCCACACTGCCCGTCAGCTACGGTTGAAGTGTTGTAGCAACGTGTTTCCTCTTAAACGACGGTAGGAAAGCTGACGACCTGTCTTGAGCTTGGAAGGTAACGTTTGTTGACTTTGCCTCAGTTAGCCAGGTAGCTAGCCACTAAGTTACACTGAAAGGATGATGTTGTGACGCTACGTTAATGTTTACGTTAGGCAGCTGTGCTGGGTACAGATTTTTCAGACATCAAATTAAGTAATTATAGAGCTGAGTATCTACGTAAAGTAACGGTACTGATATTTACGGGCTCTTTATCTTTTACTCAGGTGCTGCTACATGTTCGTTTAACGCATGTTGAATGTCCTGTTTGTAAAGAGCGTTGAACCGTGTTACAGAGTGAAGTTGTTGTGCTCCGTGTTGGTAATGTCAAAGAGCAGCCACTATTACTCATTCAAATTCAAATTAGTATGTGTAGAGCTATGAACAAGCCGTGGATGCACCTCTGATGGCCATAAAAAAGTCTGAATTCGTGGGAAGCCTTAACGTAATCTCTTTTTATCTTTGTAAACAAAGCAGTTCAAACAGTATTTGTGTCTGGCGACTGTAATATTCAACCCCATCACTTCTACTGAAATACTGTGAAATTCTGGTAAACCTATTATCTAACATAAGCTGTTGATTCAGGGCTGACCCTGGATCACCAAGGCCTCTCCACAAACATTCAAGAGCTGTGGGAGGGTATTACATTTAACAATACAGAGCTTTGCAGCCATTTCGCTAATTGTTAGATATTAGCACATATGGCATATTGGATATTTCTACCTGACATCACTAGAATAACACTATGTATGACACTGAAACACTATGCTAGATGGTCAGATATAAGGCAGTCAGCAGACGTGCAGATTTCAGCAGTTTTCTTTGTTGTGGAGATATGTTTCAAGGAAACAGAGTGCCTCCGAAGATGAGGAATTTATTCAAGCACAGTGCTGTGGTAACAACACTGCCGATAGGCATCAAGAAATACACAGAAAGTTTCCTTTTGTTTTGAGAAATCGGTTTCACTTTGTGTCCTCACCTCCACGCTCCTGGCTGCAGTTTTACTTCCTTTAGGCAGTATGTCTTTTCACATTTATTTTACAGTCTTCCGCTACGTTCAAAAAAAAAGCAAGCAAGTGAGTGTAAAAAAACTATGACCCAAGGCTATATTTTCTTTCAAAGTGAGGAACTGAATTGCAAATAGTCAGAAGTCGCACAGCTGTATAACTCACAGCTGAGTTTTTTTGTAAATTTTTTTTTACAAAGAGTAAAACTGCTTCTTATTAAGTATTCAGGTGATATTCTGTTATTTTTGTGATGTGTGGTTTTTTTTTTCTGATGTGGGTGGTTTAGAGCTCTGGATGGGCTATGAATGAATGTAGATGCTCTCGGTGAGTTGTAATTACATGTTAAAGCTACGCCAGGCTACCTTGAACAGTGTTTTTGTATTTAATGGACAGTCACTCAACGTTATTGCTGTCCGTTCTTTTCCTGCAGGTATTATCACTATTATATAGGTTATTTTTTCTCTGAGCCACCGTCAGGCACAATTTGCACAATTTCCACCAGCTTGTCTGCAACCCCCTCCCAACCCAGACAGTCTTCTGCCCCAGCATGAATGAAGTCAGTGTTGTGAGAGAGGGATGGCTCCACAAGAGAGGTAAGGGGCCCCTTGTGTTAACCGCTCATCATCTAAGTCTACATTAAAGTCAAAGTCTATGTCAAAATGTATATTTTGAGTATTGGATACTGCCCTGTCAGCTTGTCAAGTTTGTAGTTTCCTCTGTTCTCCACTTAATTCTGTCACTTACAACAGATTCCCATTGTAATAATATTATGACACAATCAAGTAGTCGAGTTTAAAACTGAGCTGGATCAAAAGTGTTCTCTTCTCTGTTTTGAAGGTGAATACATTAAAACATGGCGACCTCGTTACTTCATCTTAAAGAGCGATGGCTCTTTCATCGGCTACAAAGAAAAGCCTGAGGTGTCCAGTGACCACAGTCTCCCACCACTCAACAACTTCTCAGTTGCAGGTCAGTTTTCCCTTCTGGGTGGTCAATATCAATATGTGCCAGATTAAATTCTGAGAAGTGTTTTTATGTTTCGTTGTTGGTGCTTTAAGTTCTTCAGTGTTGGCTGATGTGTCTATGTTTTGTAGAATGCCAGCTGATGAAAACAGAGCGCCCCAAGCCTAACACGTTTGTCATTCGTTGTCTGCAATGGACCTCCGTTATTGAGCGCACCTTCCATGTAGACAGCATCGAGGAGAGGTAAAAGACATTCATTTTAAGGGTTTTATTTTAAATTGTATTTAGTGTGAGAGTGGCACAGACAGACCAGTTACTCTGCTGAGTCTCCCAGTGAAGCTCTGTTCTGCTCCCCATTATCAGTTACAGTATGGCATTTTAGAATAGCCAAACTCCCTATTTAAATGTCCTCACTGATGGACGTTTTCTTATCCGACAACAAGTTTTAAAAAAGTGGATTGATTATACCTTATAAAAGGAAGAAGATCGTCAATAGTCAGGGACAGTTCACGGTACATGTTTTGCAATAATGCATTAATTGTGAATTGTCCCTTTTTATTAAAGAATTTTATAGTATTTTAATATCCTACTGTTGCAATACATTTACTGTGAATTGTCGTCAAAAAAAATGCACAAACATTTGAATATTTCTTTATTCACACATGAATGATATATCATTCATTGATTTTGATTACGTTTTATATTTTTTAGATTTTTAACAACATTTTCACAAAATCCAACTATGTCATTTGCCATTGTTCACTACTGGCAGTGAAATCCATTTTAGTTTGTGAGAGTAGGAAAGACCATCATGCTTGAAATAGAATTCAGTGCCAGATTAAACCTGATTATGCACCCCTAACCCAAGCAATCATCGTTGAGTTTTGTTTACATCGACTCTGCCAAGTACCAAATCCTAGCAGCCCCCAGCTGAAGAGTACACAGATTATCCTCTACCTACTAAACTTATCTAGCTAGACTACAGTTTTTCCTTTAAGATATATTTTAGGCACAACATCTACACCATCTGTCTGAATGCAAAGTGTCATTGCTAACTACATATTTAAAATAGATTTGGAGTAATGTAGACATGGCTTTGGCTAGATTTGATAAGGGCAATGTGTGTGTTCTTCTGGGTCAGGGAGGAATGGATGCGATCGATCCAGCAAGTGGCAAATAGCCTGAAGAGTCAGCAGCAGGATGAGGAGCCCATGGAGATCAAATTTGGCTCGCCAAGTGACAGCAGCGGCACAGAGGAGATGGAAATTGCTATATCCAAATCCCGCACAAAAGTGGTCAGTATTTGCACACAGTGCAGTGCCTGGCAGCGGCGTGTTTGCTGTGTTTGTCCTGCTAAGCTCATCTTTATTGAGCAAGTTGTTCAAACTTTAAGCCTCTTTCTCAAAGCTTTTTTTGGTGAAGCGACCTTTAAATGAGTGGAGGGTTACATTTGTTTTCTGTCCTTAGTTTGCATGAGAGTTGGAAAGAAAACTCACGCACACTGTCCAACTTGCCAAAAAAAATATAACTAGTGCTGGGCAACGATTTAAACTTCTTATAGCGATTAATCATGTGATTTTCTGCAATTAATTGCATAGTTATGTGCAAAATTGAATAATTAATTCTAAAGTAGTGTATTGGGCACTTTTTTTATTGCGGCACAGTGGTCCAGTGGATAGCACTGTGGCCTCCCAGGTCGCGGGTTCTGTGTGGAGTTTACATGTTCTCCCCGTGTCTGCGTGGGTTTCCTCTGGGTGCTCCGGCTTCCCCCACCATCAAAAAACATGTTAGGTTCTCCAGTCATTGCTATTGACCAGACACTGATGGACATCTGGAGTTAAATGCAGAGAATGAATTTTGCAATGTGTATGTGACAATAAAGTATCATCTTCTTCTTCTTCTTCTGCTATATACACAAACACTTCAAACAAATAAGGTGCTTTTTACCAGCCGTATTCCCTTTACACAGTAGCAAAAAAATATTTCTTGTAAATCTCAACTTAAACTTTAATGTAATCAGATCAATTATAAAACTAAAGCTATTAAACACTGCCAGGGTATTAGGCTACCTTTTATAGCTTGTTAAAACAAGTTCGAGTCCAGAGCCACATAACATCATAACAGGCACCTTCAGAGCAACAGGATAAGATAGCCTACATAAATCTGTCTCTTTTTTTTTTTTTTCTGAACATGTATCAGCAGAAACATTTTTCTTTTATCAGGGAGCAGCATTAATATTTTAGGAATCTATTGCTGTTTACTAAATAGGACATCAACAGGAGGGAATTCGCATGGCAGAGTATCCCTGCAAAACTAGATGAAGGCCCATCAGGTAAAGTTATGTAGCCTATAATTCTAACTTGAGTTAAATAGGCTACAGCTGTGTACCGCACAGAAGCTTGAGCGACTAAGTTGTGAGTTTAAGAACGTTCCTAAGACCGACATCTAGAGGGTATGCGTTGATGTCACTTCCCCTTGTGGAACACGCTGGACTGAGTGGCAGAACATCTGTTACCATGGCTGCGTTTAGCAAACTGGGAGTAAAACAAGTGATTATTTACTCAAAGGCAGTCGGACTTGACAGTGATCCTTACTGCTTACCAAAGAACCAGTGGTCCAGCTCTTTCCCATTTTAGATGTGTTGTTTGTGTTTTAGCTGATTCAACACTGCTGCTCGACTTTCTGCCACTCAGTGAGCGTAACTGCGTTCTGTGATATCATGTGATGAATACCCTCTATACTAATCAGCATGCAGTGTGTAGCTATCCACTTCACTATGGCATTTGATCGCTTGTCTGTTAACGTGCCCAGCCCATATGTAAACTTTCGGTGCTAGACCTTCATCAGGAAAATGTTGTTCCATACTGAGAAGCCACCTTTTGTAGGAGGTCTTGTCTACACCAATCACCCGCTTCCACGTGCAAAAAGGCCACCATTACAAAACATTCAATCACATTTCCAGTACTAAAGATCTAGCTTAAGCTTACATATGATTCTTGTAGAAAGTAGAAAGTATTTCCTTGGTGCAGCGTTCTAGAGTGTTACTTTACAGGCTTCATTCTCTAATTTGCTGAGAACGTATAGCTATTTCAGCATGTCATGTCTCTCATGCATACATAAGATATTAATTTGTGTGTTAGAATACGTCATATGTAGTGCACCAACATTAGCAGTGGGCGAGTAGGGAGCCGCTGACTGATCGAAATGCTGCTCCTGTACATTTCAAAGACTGACAGTTTATATGATATTTATATATTATATAAGAGCACATTTTTAAGTCCCAGTCTTCAAAGCCCCCCTCCAGTGTATTTTGACATTTCTGTGATATTTCATATTTTTCTGTGTCATTTCCTTACAGTGTTGATTACCCACATAGTTCGCCAAATATTTTTTGACAAATAGCTTAATTTTGTGCTCAAAGTTGTTAAAACGGGGTGGTGACGTATGACTATAGTAATTCCATAAGTGATACGTCATTCTCCAGGCTTGCGCAGGCGCACCGTCATGCCTCGTTAAATCCGAGCATCAAACCGATAAACATAGTTGTGAGCTAGCTAACCAATTTATCATGTAATTTACTTAGAACTTACAGTAGGTATGTTCATTATGGCATTTGTGCTTGCGGTGTTGGAGGACAGATGACAGAAAACGCGTCGCACTTTCACCTGCCACCGTTTTATATACAGTCTGCAACATGCATTTTACTTAGGGCCGTTTTACCAATGCATCAGCGGAGGCAATTGTATCAGAAGTTTTTACATACAGTTCAACAGAGTAAAAGACCCCCCCGACCCCTGCGGTAAAGTAAGCGCACTATAAAACATAGTGGGAGTTATCGTGTGCAGTGCGTGACAGGACCATCGACTGTATGATTGGTAACAGCTGATACGCGCACATTAGTTTCTATCATAGGTAAGTAATAGCTACTCCTGCCAGACAGTAAACTTTACAGTGTAGTGATGTTAACACAGCATATCGTCAGCCAGTCAGTTTTTGGTTGTCATGGTAATTGATTACGTCCGACTATTAACCACACCCCCATTCTCTGTTTGAGAAAGAACGTTAACCAAAAACGGCAGTTAAAACTGACTGGAGTGGGGCTTTAAGAAGGCAGGTATAAGCTCACCCTGTTGTCAGTACACACTAACAGATATTTGCATCTTTGCCATTGCTCCTACAGACGATGAGTGATTTTGACTACCTGAAGCTACTGGGGAAAGGGACATTTGGTAAAGTGATCCTGGTGAAGGAGAAGGCCACTGGGATGTACTACGCCATGAAAATCCTCCGCAAAGAAGTCATCATTGCTAAGGTTAGTCGTAAACGCATCACTGTAAAATCTTGACTTGAAATTGTTTTGAAAATCTTGCTCTCATTGGATGTACCAAAAATGTGTGTGTGTGTGTGTGTGTGTGTGTGTGTGTGTGTGTTTGTCTAGGACGAGGTGGCACACACAGTTACAGAAAGCAGAGTTCTCCAAAATACGCGGCATCCCTTTCTAACGGTGAGTTACAGTTGGCCCGTGTTGTTGCCTTGGTTTTTGCTTTTACGAAATAAATGGACCATTTAATGCAGTCACTAATTTTTGTTTTCCTCCTCCACAGACACTAAAATACGCATTTCAAACGCATGACCGGCTATGCTTCGTGATGGAGTATGCAAATGGAGGAGAAGTAAGTGTTCCTCTTTCTCATCTGGCCTACAGTTGTGTCTGAGGTGTTGATATACCTTTGTCTGACCATTTTGGAAGATTGCGTCAAAAAACAAAACATTGTGATGCATCACTTTAAGGGCACTTTCACTGTTTGGTTCAGTTCGTTTGGACTGATGTGAAACCCTTGTACAGACCATACAACAGGGCTGAGAATGCTTGAAAAGGAGGTCCGTTTCCAGGGGAACAGTGGTGTGGATTGTTTGTTGCATGAAAGCAAACAGGCCTACCGCAAATTTTCCAATAGTAGATATTGATAGATAGAGATTAGTGGATAGATGTTAAATCCATCAGCTGATTCTGATATTATAATCGATCTCAGTAATACCTCTATTGCAAGACGCCACTTTTTCATCCTGTCTCTACTTGTTTGTCATTATTTGATTTGCTGTCTAATGATACAAATTATAACCAGTTATTGCACTTTCTGACAATCAAGAACATAAATATACACACAAGCAGTGTTGGAAAAAGCTGCTGTCTGTCACGAGAATTTGATTTCCTGATCATGCAGGCTGACAATCGCCAAAACTCTCCAGTCAGTTACTGGTCAGTCTGTATGACCTTGTGGTTTGTTTATGAGAAGCCAGTGTGAACATGAACCGGACCAGAACTAAAATGCTACAAGGTATCATTTTTCACTTGAATCAGTTGGTCCAGACCAAATGAACCCAGCTGCAAGTGTGAAGGCACCATAAGGGTTTTAATCCAACTGTTATCCTTTTTGGAAGCATCCAACTCAGATCAAATTGTTGGGCGAATGTGTTGTTTGATGAAACTGCTGCGGAAAGAACTGAAATCAAATCAGTCTTGGAATCTTATTAATAGTATTATAATCCAAAAATTCAGGTTCAACAGCTAGGCCTGCTTTGTAAATGGCTGTAGACATGCACACAGAAATGTTTGAATGCACACATTGAAAATTACCAACATGAATAACTAGGATTCAAGAAATCAAGGATTTTTAGTAAAGCAAGTATCTCAAGTAACATGAGGAATTATTCTGTCCCTCATTTCTGTGTTGTTGTTTTTTAAACCCTTTTTCAGCTCTTCTTTCACTTATCACGGGACAGAGTGTTCACAGAAGACAGAGCGAGATTCTATGGTGCAGAAATAGTGTCAGCACTGGAGTACCTACACTCACGCAATGTAGTTTACAGGGATTTAAAGGTAAGGTGTCTGCTTGCTCTGATAGGATAGTATTAATTAAATAAGATATTTAATATGCTATAACCTTAGATTGTTGAAGGTTATAGCAAGGCATGTGATCAGTGCTATAATTCCATAGGGATTAATACATGCAGTGAAACTGCTGAGATTATTAAAATGTGTTGTGTGCTGTCCCCCACATTCTATGTTTGTCATTTTACCGCCATAGCTGTCAACTAATTTGAATCTTAATTTGAATCTTTCCTTGCACAGCTGGAGAACCTCATGTTAGATAAGGACGGCCACATAAAGATAACAGACTTTGGGCTTTGTAAAGAGGGGATCACAGACGGTGCCACCATGAAAACCTTCTGTGGAACCCCGGAGTACCTGGCTCCAGAGGTAACTCCACAACATCAGTATGTTTTGTGACTAGGATCTTGAAAGTAGGCTCTGGTGCGACAGGGCTGTGGGCACATAGTGGAAACTAGTTTTAATAGCTTGGTAGTTTCATGTCTGAGAAAGTTTGGAGAAAGTCGGAGAAAGTTTGTTGATAGTGGGGCACTATGTGAAAACCAGTTAGGCCGGTAGAGAAGCTGGGAGAGCTGGTTGTCAAACTGTTGTGTTTGTGCTTTGGTTAGCACAATAAAATGCTAATTGACCTATAGAACAACAGAATGAACAGTCCACAGGTACGTGTGTTGGTCTCAAACTTTGTTCAGAAAACTAAATGTGCTTTTGCAGAGATGCATCCATATAGTAAGGGCAATCTCCTCTGAACTGAACTGCTGTAAAATTAGTTTATTCATAGTAAATAAAAAAAGCATGCAGTTGAACCGTGGAAACTGAAGATAAACTAAAGATAAGAGCTTAGAAGATTTGATGGTTGACAAACAAGGGCAACAATGTTTTTATAAAACATTAATAGAATGATATTCATGCACCAATATTCCTGTTGTTGTTTTATTTCTTTTTTCATTCTTCCCCTGTCAGGTGCTAGAGGACAATGACTACGGCAGAGCAGTGGACTGGTGGGGACTTGGCGTGGTCATGTACGAGATGATGTGTGGCCGGTTGCCGTTTTACAACCAGGACCACGAGCGTCTCTTTGAGCTAATCCTCATGGAGGAGATCCGCTTCCCCAAGAACCTGGCTCCCGAAGCCAAAGCCCTGCTGGCCGGTCTGCTCAAAAAGGATCCCAAACAAAGGTTTGTGGTTTGCAGCTTGGTTGTGTGTTTGATGATGGTAATAAAATATGCAGAACACAACAACTTTTACAAGAAGCATAATGGATTATAGGTTTTTTTTCTTTTCCAAATTGATATTGACCGTTAGATATTCATTCTTATAACCTGAACACATAGCATAAAAGTTTTTACTAAGGATGTGATGAATTTGGTTACTAAGAAGTGTGACCAAGAAATGTACTGGGTGGGACATTTAACAGTTGCAACTCAGTGCTCACTGGTGGACATATTGTGACAGTTAACATGAATTACATCAAGCCTATCTATCTGTGATAAGCTGACATACTGATGTGATCAGTCAGGCTGTGCTTATCACATGGTCTCCAACTGATCTTGGAAGTTTTTTGTTTATACTCTTGGATTTAAATGCAATGCTGCATCCAAAAATTAAAAATAAAATCTGAAATTGTGAGTAGTACATTGTTTTAATATTAAACAACACTTATTTTAAGCTACAAGAAATGCTTACGATGAATGTACTGTTTCACTGTGAAAAACATGGCTGTTGAGCTGAGCAGAAAACCATTTTCTTCCCGGTGTTTGGTATCCATCCACTGTGCTCGGCACCACCATATATTCAGTTGTGAAATAAGTAACTACATTATTAAGCCCTTGTTCCTTCTTGATTAGTTTTGGAACAGGGTAACGGCCATAAACAAGGACATAATTGATTGTTGTTGTGGTTGAGTCCTGGTGTTTCTGGGAACAGTCGAAGACCTGCTAATATTAGCACATTGAACTGTGCAGGCTTACTAACACACACTCCTGTAAGCAGTAAGGAAATGAAGAATTAATTTGTCTTCAAATTGGTAAATGAAATGTCAGAGGGGAACAGCACAAGTACCTGTTGGACATTTCTAATGACAGTGTTTGCACGATTATCTGCATAAAGAAAAAGGAAGCTGTTGAGTGGGCGACAATGATAGTGTTTTTGTTTTGCTTACAGGCTCGGAGGCGGACCAGACGATGCCAAAGACGTGATGAGCCACAGGTTCTTCACCTCCATCAACTGGCAGGATGTTCTTGAAAAAAAGGTGAGGTGCAAAACATATGATGTCACCATTAAATGAAGCCGGTCAGAATGTAAAATGACTAAGATACTCCTTCTCCTCAGCTCATTCCACCCTTCAAGCCCCAGGTAACATCAGAGACGGACACACGTTACTTCGATGACGAGTTCACAGCACAAACCATAACAATAACGCCCCCTGACAAGTGTAAGTAGATCGACATCTGTCGTTTGTGCTTTCAGATTGGATTTATACGTGTTTATACATATTCAGGTCTGTTTTGAACTGGTGGATGTTTTTTTTTCTCTCTCCCTTTGTGCACACTCCAGATGACAGTTTAGATCCAGTGGATTCAGATCAGCGCACGCACTTCCCTCAGTTCTCCTACTCTGCCAGCATACGGGAATGATCACTTAGAGTCTTGAACAAGCAGGCAGGCTTACATACGATCACTATCCCACATACACACTTGCACTGCTGGGGAATTGGAACGACACCAACAAAAACTGGCACAAGACACATTTTCATTCGGTCTTTAACGCACCTACACACAGACACGTACACACATACTGGCAAATCAGACCAGACGGGGATCATAGAGTATGAAATGAACACAAAGGGCGTGAATGACTGACCTCAGCAGGTTTGTGCGGATAGACTGGCAGCTTTGTCTCTGTGCATCCTCTCAGGGTTGGCTTTAGGCTTCCCTGCAGGACCTGTGCTGCACTACACTGGGTACCGCATCAAAGCCTTGACACTTTGACAAACCAGGTTATGCCAGCAAGTACCACCTCTTTACCAGCTGTACCCATGCCACACACACACCCACCAACCCATGCATAGACTGCATATATATATATATATATATATATATATATATATATATATATATATATACACACACACACAAACGTACTTGATAGAATTTTGAAAAGTGTAATCAAAATTAGGAAAAATGGAAAACATTTGGGGAAAAGACACATTTTTATTTCATCGATTGTCACGGTTTTAAATGTAAAGCCATATTTCTGCATTTTTTGTGATTTGTTTTTTTTAACAAGTGCTCTTTCTGGAACTTGCTGTTACAAATCAAGTGTGGGACCGTTCCTACAGTGGGGGGAGGGGGGGGGGGGGTTGCCATTTCTGTGTTTGCACTGCACATGTGTTTAAGCGAATGCAAGAGTGGATGTGTGAATGTATGCGTATGTGCATTATAAGTGCAGGAGAATGCGTGACCAACCATTTTGATTCTCAACCATCCATTTGTGTCTGTTTTTATGCATGTTTTTAACTATTGCTGGAATATTGACATGAAAGGACACTACACGGCACACTCAATGGCCTTTTTTAAAAGGGAACAAGCATGTAGTTTATGATCGCTGTGACCAGCTTGGCGCTAAATTGACTCAGTCAGGAATAGAAACTGAGATCTCTTGCATGGCTAACCTTTGCTTTAAAAGCTGCATTAATTTAACAGCGATGCAGCAGTCAGGCTCTTAGAGTCAGTGTCGCTGTGTCCAGACTGACTTACCGACCAACTAGCTGCTGGTTGGAGGTGTAAGAGTGAGTTTTCATTAAGGCCAGTCCCTCTGTGTTAAAGACAGTTAGAATAGAAACTTGCCCGCAGTTGTTCCTCAACCCATCCAGAGAGACCAGTGTAGGCGAACAGCCACTTGCTGTCTTTGATCCAGTAATCCTCACTCCTAGCTGAAGAGTTAGGCCACCAATCTTTTATTCATTTTCTATTTCTAAAATCAGTGTATGTTTTTTAAAATAAGCCTTTGAGTGTTCCTGTATTTAAAGAATGAGAGTTCAATCGTTAAGTCTTTTTAATGAGGCCAAAAATTGACTGAATTGGTGGATGTTTAGCACTTCAAATGATTCCACATTTGATGTTTAGAACCTTTTTGTTTGTGTTTTCTTTAATGCTGTGTTGAGGCACTTAAATCTGCGTAGTTGTATATCAGGAGCAACGGTCTGCAGGTTCAATCCAACTAAACGCTGCATGAGTTGGTCGATCAACCTGCGGACAGGGGGAACTAATCAAAATATCAGCTGATATACTGTTAAATTGAAATGAAAATCTACGTGCTTTAACGAGTCATGACGGCACATGATTGAGAGAAGTTCTGGAGAGCATACTGAAAAGCAAGCATTTTATATTCCATATTGCTGAAAGAGACGTCGGCTACTCTTTGGGCTTCACTAAAGGAACATCAAGATCTTTTTGTTTGTCATTGATTTGTTTTTGTTTGTTTGTTTTCTCATTTTTTTGTCCATCTATTTCTCAAATTTTGGAAGAAACATTGTCTTGTTTAAGTATACATTATATTAAATATATATTAAAAGTTTTTAAACGGCTTTCTTCATTTCAATGGGTTTCCATTTGAGCATTGCTTATTACCATTACAAGTAATTTGTTTTTAGATGAGCCGTTAATTTCTGTGTTGCATTATCACGTCCTTTAGGCTGAACTGAATTCACTGATCAAAAAGTATTAAGGGAAATTGACAGTTCTATTTGAAATGAAAGAAAATCCTCCCTGAGCACTTAAATTAACAAACTTTCCTACACTTTGCAGAACAGATTTTTAAGTTGTACCCTTTTAAAAGAACAAAACTGTTTTCCAGAAACACAGCATACCCTTCATGTCACATATTAATTTGTTTTCATTTCCGTTTGTGTGACTGACAGTGAGATGCTTGAGTGAAAGTGGGGATAAGGACACAGAAAAGCAGCAGGTTTGTGACTCTTTCTTGTTGGGCAGCAGGTGGCCCCAGTTCCTGCAGATGATGATGTGATCAAATGGCTTTGATTTACAGTTCACAACTCCAGCACCTCTTCTCACTGGCTCAGGCACAGCCATCATACTCTAGCCTAGTGTCCTGCTTTGGAAACTGCAGGATCGGATATCAGAACCACTGCACTGATGGACTCCACTGTGGATTTGCCTTCATTGCTACCATGGCCATAAGAGGGTGCTGCTGAACTTTTTTAATATTGGTTGTGAAGCCATACTCTGAACCTCGCTGCTGGCCACGCTTTAAGCAATGCTTCACAGCTAAACATGCAAGTTAATACCCCTGACCTCTCCTGTAGGCATACACAGGCACAACAAGTGCCTCCTCACTATTGTGTAAATACCAAAAAAAATAAATAAAAAGCTTGATGATGATGCAGCATTAGTAGAAGGGGAGGCCTGCAGCTTTGTAGTATTTTATTTGCAGCTTTACTATGGTTATCTTGCTTCTCTGTATAGTTGAATGTGATCAACAGTCACGAATGTCACACCTGATGCTGGCGCAAGATTTTCTTTGCTTGTTGCTGTTAGTCGAGGCTCAGAGGGCAATGAAAAAAGCAATCTTTAAGGGGAGGACATTGTCCTGGTAGACAGTTTCAGCCCCCCTTTGCAAGACTTTACAATGTAACGGGTGATACCTGCTACAATATGGTAGCTTATAACGTTTGCAACTATAATGTGCCAGTAAACATTTTTACTGAATAAAGTTGTCTGTGTCTTTTTTATGCTGTTTTTTTAAACAATGCAAACTGTTCACCTGCACTTGCAATCCTCTGCAACAGCACTGCAATCTTTTGTAAAGCTTACAGTATAATAGTGTTTGATTGTGATTGTCGCATTTTACATGAATGTGTTTGGTAAAGTTTAGTTGTGGTTTTATTTTAGAGTCAAAATCCTTAAAGGGGGCAAGAAACACATTAAAACAACACAATTTCAGGGAGGGTGGAGAAATGTCCTCAAAGTAGGCTACAAAAACGAAAACTGAATGTTTGTTTATGATTTGCTGCAGGCAGGCCTACAAGTGATTGCATTAGACTGTACGGATCATTTGCAACACCGAAGCTCGCTTTAAATTATTACAACACATTGGACAGCCAGGAGGTGATTTTTAATGTCCACATACAGTAAAAGATTTTTAGCATAAGAGCAGTTATATTAAATCGAAATTACCATCGCAATTCTAATATCAAGGATTGGACTAAGCCTATATGATAATCCTGCAGTCTTAATAAAAAGAAGCCGTAAAGAAGCGGGTTCTCTCCTGTAGAGCAGCGCAGCAGCTGATGGAGGGAAAGAGTGCGACATAGGCTTGTTATATTTCAAATAAAACAAATCTTTGTTTCCCAGATTGAGTGTTTATTTTACAAGATATAATGTCTACAATTAGGCCCTTCATTAGCCTATATCAGAGTTTAGTAAATGCCCCTTAAATCATTTCAAGGCGACCGGAAGTTGTAATCCTATCTTGACACCGGTGTGCCCACCCCAATTAGCGTGGCCCACCTGTATTTATCAGCCGCTGTCCAGGCGGCATGTCTCCTCTCTCTGTTCCAGACCACCGCTGACACCCGTGGATAAGTAGCTGCAGCGGCCGGCACGGGAACTCTGTCTTCGGCTTTGACCATGGCCAGGACTGGTTTCTGCGACTCCAAGCCCCTGCTGGACTTACACAAGAAGGTGAGCATGTGCTCATTGGACAGAACCAGTGTAAATCATATTTCCTTAAGAAAATAAAGTTTACATATGAAGTGCTGTTCTAGTTTTCAGGTGCCTAAACTGGGATGTGCAACAACTTGGCCCTGTTGTTAATTTCAATTCTAAATAATTGATGACAGATTATTGACCAATCTCCATAAATTAAACTTCAGTCTCCTTTAAATACACCTTTCTTTAGGGTAATACATGTGGTGTTTGTTTTATCAGATCAAACAAGTTCATCTGTTTAACTTTGCCTCCTTGATCTCAATCTGTTTAAGCACACAGGCCTGCTCCATTTCTTTTTTTGTTGTCAGGGAAGTAATTGCATTCACCTGCCATGATCCCAGGTGTGGGGGAGTCTGGTTAGATGGCTAGAGTAGGACCTTGAGTCTTGATGGCCAGAAGTGAACCACTCATTTTGTGACAATACTGTGCATTGATAACTCATACAAATAAGCAACCACCTACAGCTGCAAAGACTTCTTGATGGGCTTTTTTTTTTTTTTTTTTTTGCCTCAGTTGTGGTTTAAGAAAATGGGTAGGCATGCATTTTTAGGCGTCCAAGATCACATCCTTATTTGTGCAAAGACTTTCTGTTGTCCCACCAGGCGGATGAGAGGCGAGCCCCATTTAGAGCTTGGTTCAATGCCTGTGGACCTAAAAATCGCTGGCAACCTGTAGAAGTAGATGACTCCATGATGGCCCCTATCAAAATGCAGCCGGAACGCAGATGGGTACGCCTTTCTCACTTGTCACCTTCACCCAACATATACTACATTATCTGTTTTTATCATATTTAGTCTTGCATGATAACTAAGTGGTTAAAGGAATGCTGCAGGATATCTGTAATCTTGTGGACTTAGCAGATGTTGCGTTCATTGTAAACTTATTCACTTCAGAGCATCAGTTAAAAGTTAAGTTTTTATCATAACAATCTTAGATTCAAGTGCATGTTGAACTTATGTGTAAGGTGTTGTCTTTTTGCAGGAAAGGAGATTAACAATGCAGACAAGTGGTGATGTCATCATGGGGTGTCATGAAGACAGTCGAACGCGCTCTGCAGGTAGTATAATCAATACTTAAGGTTTTCGAACTTCTCATTGGTCTGTAATTCACTTAAAATGGGGATAGCTGCAGTTTCTACACTTTGCATTTAAATATTTTATTTGGAAAGGTACAATATTGAACATGTTACCATTTGATGTATTGTACCAGTGTTAAAGCAAATTTTCATCAACATAAAATATTATGAAATCTAAGTCTTGCTGGAGGAAATTTGGGATTTTGTGGCTAGGGTTTATTCTAGGACCTTTTCTTTTATTAAAAAAATTACTGAATTTGACATGGCGTGCAGCACAATCTACCACGGAACAAAAAAGATGGGGGGGGGGGGGCACTAACTGTGCCTGTGTTATTCCTCGTTGTCGTCCTTTCCATCCTGTGTAGCAGCTGGGTGTGTGGAGGAGCCTGTGCTTTTTCACCCTCTTGGGCTGCAGGGTCTTCACAGCCTACAAGCACTGGTGCCCAGCTTGCTGCGCCATGAAGTGGAGATGGCGCTGGAGAAGCTGGACCTCATATGGGACAAGACGTTTGCCTGGGACATGTTCTTGGACATGATGGTGAGACCTCATGAACTGAGGTCATTATATGGCTTCATGCGTTTATTTCATGTTGCTAACTTTCTCTGTAAGGGAGGAACATTATGCCTAAAATGCGCTATACACAGACCTCACCATGAATTGTATACAAGAGGGGTAACCTAGAAGATTGGCATAAATGCTGACTGCACTGTCTTTAAATATTTAGTGTGTGCCTCCCTGTTTTCTGGTTTCACCATGCAGAGAACTCAAACACGAAACTCTCTTCCCAATGCTGACCTGCCCCGCAATTTCACTGATGTCACACGCGCTGTCCTGGTAGACTGGCTCATTCAAATTCATGTAAGTCTCACTGTAGATACAAGGGTTCCTCAAAACAAAGCTTAGGTGGTTATGTACTGTACCATTTCTTGGCGAGGTGCAGTGACTTCCTAACCCCAACCAATAAGACTTAACTACAGGTGCTGGTCATATAATTAGAATATCATCAAAGTTGCTTTTATTTCAGTAATTCCATTCAAAAAGTAAACTTGGGTATTATTACACACAGACTGATATTTCAATTGTCTTTCATTTAATTGTGGTGATTAAAACTGACAACTAATGAAAATCCCAAATTCAGTATCTCCGAAAATTAGAATATTAAGACGATACAAAAATTTTTAGAAATGTTGGCCAACTACAAAGTATGAGCATGTACAGCACTCACTACTTAGTTGGGGCTCCTTTTGCCTGAATTACTGCAGCAATGCGGTGTGGTTGCTCTGATAGTGGCCTTGTTGGGTCTGGCGTAACACATCTTCCTCTTCACAATACCCCATATTTTCTATAGAGTTAAGGTCAGGTGAGTTTTCTGGCCAATTAAGAACAGGGATACCATGGTCCTTAAACCAGGTACTGGTAGCTTTGGCACTATGTGCAGGTGCCATGTCCTTTTGGAAAATGAAATCTGTATCTCCATAAAGTTGGTCAGCAGCAGGAAGCATGAAGTGCTCTAAAACTTCCTGGTAGACGGCTGCGTTGACCTTGGACCTCAGAAAACACAGTGGACCAACACCAGCAGATGACATGGCACCACAAACCATCACTGACTGTGGAAACTTTACACTGGACTTCAAGCAACGTGGATTCTGTGCCTCTCCTCTCTTCCTCCAGACTCTGGACCTTGATTTCCAAAGGAAATGCAAAATGTACTTTCATCAGAGAACATAACTTTGGACCACTCAGCAACAGTCCAGTCCTTTTTGTCTTTAGCCCAGGCGATACGATTCTGACGCTGTGTCTTGTTTAAGAGTGGCTTGACACAAGGAATGCGACAGCTGAAACCCATGTCTTGCATACGTCTGTGCGTGGTGGTTCTTGAAGCACTGACTCCAGCTGCAGTCGACTCTTTGTGAATCTCCCCCACATTTTTGAATGGGTTTTGTTTCACAATCCTCTCCAGGGTGTGGTTATCCCTATTGCTTGTACACTTTATTTCTACCACATCTCTTCCTTCGCTTCTCTATTAATGTGCTTGGACACAGAGCTCTGTGAACAGCCAGCCTCTTTAGCAATGACCTTTTGTGTCTTGCCCTCCTTGTGCAAGGTGTCAGTGGTCGTCTTTTTCGTCTTCCTCATGATTATGTAGCCTACAGAACTAGACTGAGACCATTTTGCAGGGGTTTTGAGTTAATTAGCTGATTAGCGTGTGGCACCAGGTGTCTTCAATATTGAACCTCTTCACAATATTCTGAGATACTGATTTGGGGGTTTTCATTAGTTGTCAGTTATAATCATCAAAATTAAAAGGAATGAATACTTGAAATATATCAGTCTGTGTGGAATGAATGTATACATTATACAAGTTTCACTTTTTGAATGGAATTACAGAAATGCAACTTCTTGATCTAATTATGACCAGCACCTGTAAGCTGATGGCTGTAACTCAATTGTTCTGTATCAGTCTTCTGAAACTCTAAGATCTTGAATAAGCATATTTCCCCAAAATGTTAAACTTAATCTAAGCCCCCCGTTTGGTTTATTTCCTACCAGGAGATGATGAATTTTCAGGAAGAGACCCTCTATCTGACCATACACCTCCTCAACCGCTCCCTACGTCAGATCAAGGTGACCACAGCCAACCTGCAGCTCCTCGGCATGGTTTGCCTCTTCCTTGCTGCAAAGAAAGAGGAGTGTCTCCTCCCTGAGGTACGCTGGCTCAGACCTCCCCAACTAAAAAGCAACAGTATGTTCAACTTGCATGATTACGTGCGGCTGTCTAACATATCTAAGTCATTTTACCTTGCACATCAGTTAAACACACTTCATTCAAACTTGACAGAAAATATAACTCTCAAACATTTGTTAGTCTTTCCTGTGTTCCAATACTCACTAATTCGGGTTTAGTTTAAATAAATCCTTAATTCAGTGTTGGAAAAGGGAAGGCTCAGCAGTTTCACACAGAGGGGCTCCATGCACTAACATGCATGGCTGGACCAGCTGTATAAACAAAGCACAGAGAGGCAGGGATAACAACACAGGCAGAGGGAGTGTTGTCATTCTCTGCTCAAGATGCCATGACTTCACTATATCTTTACATTGCAAATTGTTTGCTGCTATATTGATCTCATACAGAACCTTTTTTGTTTTTTTTACCAAAAACAACAAATTTGCCAAGCCATTTCTTTTATTATATGGTGCTGCTTCTTCCAGGTGTCTGGACTCTGCTACTTGATGGACCACACCTACACTAAGCATCAGCTGCTACGACTGGAGCGCAAAGTCCTCTGTGGGCTCAAGTTTGATTTGTCCTACTGTCCCCCTCTGCATTTCCTTCTCATACTTGCCTCTGTTGCCCGCTGCAGTGCTAAGGTAGATCTACACCTGAACAAGTGTCAGTGAGGGGGTCCCCCCCCCCCCCCCCCCCCCACTATGTAGAGATGTGAACTGTCTTCTGTGCCACCAGGTGGTTTGGATGGCTCGTTATCTGCTGGAGCTGTCTCTCCTGGAGGGCCATTGTGTTGTGTTTGTACCCGTGCAGCTGGCAGGAGCGGCCCTCTGCTTGTCCCGGCGAGTCCTGCAAGAGCCTCCTACACCAGAAGGGGAAGCTGCCTGGTGTCTGGCCTCCAGCATCCATGTTGGCAGGTGGGCATTTTGCCTCATTAGATGCACTCCCCTTTACCCTGCCATCATCGGCACTGTAGTCGCTGAGCCCTGACTTCCATGTGGCCATAACTTCCCGGATGCCAAACTTTACTTTCAAAGTGGATTTTTTTTTTTTTTTTTATTCATAGGTGTATGTAGATGGAGAGAGCATCCATCATCTGTCAAGTTGACATCTGTATGCTTTGTGGTTTTCAGTGAGACTGCCGTGCTGAGGATCATGCACATTATGGCCAGTGCTGCAGCCAAAGCCCACACACAAGAGAACTGCGCTAGTTTTATTAAATTCTCCTCGCCAGAGACCATGCATGTCAGCAGACACCAGGGTCTGAAGAACACTGCTGGTCTGCTGGGCGTATGCACTTGACATTCTTAACTCCCAGGAACTTGATTATATCCCAAAGTAAAAACACTGGACCAGTATCATTGGAGGACCTGACTCCTGTGTGGTCCAAGGCTGTAATGTTTGCTATGGATCTTGAGGCGTTACTGTGGAAATGGGTGAGGAAGAAGTGTGAACACTGACAAAGAATTTCATGTATGTGATTTAGCCAACCTGATGGCACACCTGTTTTATGATCTTATCTTGCAGCTGATTTAGAAAAATATATATATTGTACTGATGTGTCCTTCTCTATCAAGTTATTCCAAAAGTTTTAATATAAAATAAAGTGTCTGCTGCAACATTCTTGGGTTCCAGCCGTTTTTATTTTTGCGCGCATGTCTGCAGGTCCAGCAGGCTGACTACAGCTGACTTTATTTTATCCCTTTTATTGTATTTTACTAATTTTATATTAATATTTCATGCTCTTGTGTTTCTTATTCTTTACACTTAAGTACTTTGTAACTTGTTTTTGAAAAGTGCTCTACAAACAAGGATTATTATATTACAGCTCTACATCACTGTCAAGGCTCCTTCTGACTGCAGGGCTGCATCTTAAAGCCACTGCTGCTCACATGTGCAAAACATGCTGACACAGCTGAATGGCTCAAAGGAGTCACTGTAGAGCATGTGAGGCAGCTGCTACAGCACTTTTATATCTTATCAAAGCACTTATTTACAAATGCAGCTTTCTGCAGCTACATATATGTACAGTCTTGTCCTTCACCTATTCCACAACATGTCCTCTCTGAAATGCACAGTAGAGTTGTGTATGCAGGCTTTCATTCCAGCAAGCAGCAGTAGGTAACAGGCAGTGCAAATCAGCTGCTCTCTAAATCTCAACTGCAGACTGCATCTCTCTCTGTCAACTGGACCCACTCTTATCTCAATCCCAAATGTGACCTTCACCAAATATGACGTGTTGTAGGTGAGCCTCTGGCACACGTAGGTTTCCCTTCACGATCACTGTCTCGTTGCTGCACGTGCATTAAGTTGTGATTGGCTGTCGTAGTTGTCTCATGGACCAATGGGCGTTTAGCTCGCGCGGAGAGCGTTTTTATTGTGGCTGGTTGTTGGTTCAGCAGGCGGCTGTGGGTTCAATTAAGGTAAATGCCGACAGTTATCATCCCGAGGTTGAATTGGGTCACTTTATCTTCGTTTTGTTCCTGCATACATGATCGAATGATATAACGTTTCGATATTGTTCCCCCCTTTTTTTTATTTTTTTTAACATTTCGTCGTCACCTAAACGGCGGCGTCAAGCCAGCAAGAATTAAGCACCGGGATTTCGAAATAAAAGCGTGAAAGCTGCTGCCCTTGGATAAACCTTCTATGTAAGTACTGTCTGAGGAATATAAAACCAAGATGATGACTCGAAGTTGCGCTTTGTATTGTCGGAGTAGTTTGTTTTATTTACAAAACCATATCTGTCTGAAACTATGCGTTTTATTTTGGAACCAAACGGATGAGAAGTTTCTAATTGAGACAAGTTTGACAGACATTGCCAAATCTCACCCCGTTTTCTCTGGTTTTATCACACGGCAGAGGAAAATGAATCATGTATGCACTGTGACTCCGACAGATGACAAATTAAACATGGCACGTTAGCGTTGCTCGGAGCCCTAAAGCTGGGCACAAGGGGGGGGGAAGCCGTTATTGGAAATAGTTGCCTGTTTTACACTTGGAGGTAAGTTTTCCACTGTAGATAAAGCTTATAACGTTACATCTATTCGCTTTGAAGACATATTGGCAACTATCGATACTTCCTATTCAAGCTCTCACTCATCACTTTTTCGTCTTCCACATGGCTGTCGGCCTGCTAATAACGTATAATGACGTATATATTTCGGCCACTTAGATTATCATCTGCCTTTTTTTTTTTTGTATGCGTTGACGGCCAGTGTCAGAGGAAGTGTATGTTAGAGGGCCTGTCTCAAAGTTGAGTGTTACATAATAGGGGGAGGAAGAGGGGGAAGGGGGGGGGGCGCTATTTCAGCAGAGACCGAGATGTGCTGCCTTCAGGGAACCACTGCCTCCGGAGATATCGAAGCACGGGTTTAGCGTAATAAAAATCAAAGTTTTACATGCTTGTCACGATATATAAAGTCCTCTATGAAAAGGGCCACGTTGTGTTTATCGAAGGTGGAGTGCACTTTAGTTTTAGAGCTCATGAAAGTCAAAATATCAATTGCAAACCACGTCTTCCACTGCAGAGATTTACACCTTGCTGCAGTGTATTGCAGACCTCAAATGTAAAGTGCGTAAAAGGGCTGCATTTCTTGTGTCCTTGTAGGGACACATTCCTGTTGGAGCACAGAGGAATATCAAATGTCATTCGGGGTCATCTCAAAGAGGTGGTCCAGCTGATCATTTCCTACAGCTGATTCATCAATCTACCAACCATGTGTCTTCCACTGTTTGTGGGTTTGTAATTTAATTCATTTATTGTCATTGCACAGAGTACAACGAAATTGAGTGCAATCCTGATTATGCATATCCACTTAACAAAAAAAACCATGACAAATTTTGAGATAAAAAGAATTAGGTTCTGAATATAGAAATGTAGAATATATAAAGAAATAATGACTGATAGTGACTAAATCTGTAAAAACAGAATATATAAAAAAATATACAGCACAATAGTTAATTATATAACTCTTTATATGCGCAGGGTTTGTACAGTAGAACACCAGATAACTTGAATGAGAGGACACACGTGGAGTGCCATTTTGGGAGCCGTTTGAGATAAACAAATGAGAATAAATTGTTTACCACCAGCCTTAACTTGGACAAGCTGTAGCAATCTTGTAAAAACATGATTTGACTATGTGCTCCGTGTCACTGCCTGCTAGCTCGAATTACAGCATTTTATTTGGGTACACAGTGTTAATAGGCTCCAACTCTGCTGACTCAAAACAAAGTTTGACCCTTTGCATTACGTTGGCTTCCTGTAAATACATGGTGTGCATGCACATGTACACACATGCACAAAAAACTGGGGGAAAGGTTTACAAATGGACTTTTTGTGTTTTTCTTCAATTTCTCATGAGTGTAACAAAAATGTGCATAACATAAATGTAGAGTATTGTCACAGTTATCCCTCACTTTTCAAATATGATGCAGTTCCTCGGAGTACATATACTCGGAGAGTACAGTGCTACACATATACTGTATATGCAGGTGTGTCAAGGACAGGCTGTTAGACTACTGGTATATGCAACTCAAATTAAGACTTTAATGCCGAACATGTGAAACTGAATACTTTTGCTAAGATCCTCTATGATGTATTATGAGAGGCTATGTCACTGTGTGTAAATTGCCTCGGTTACACACCTCAAAGTCAAACACAAAACCATCAGCATGTGCCATCATGGATATGTAGAAAAAAACATTGGAAACACTGCTGAAATTGTACAACTATAAGCTCTTGTGCAATCGACTGCACAGAGAGATTAAGAAAGAATTCTGGTAAATGTTTTTTTTACAGACAGAGGAGTTTTTAAATGGTAACTGTGTATCTTTATTTTTCAGTCTGGACCCAATTTCCCCATGTTTTGTGTTGAAGTACTAATGGGGGAAAATCTTTTGAAATTGTTCCAGTATTGAGCGAGAGCGCAGCAACTGGCAGAAGCAAACCGGGCTGCAATGTAATCTGTCAGAGTGATTGTGCACTGTCAGAGTAGGTCCACTGAAGTGCTTGTTTTTGCCACTGACAGACTCAGATTGTTATTCGAAGTGTCTGACAACATTATGGAAAGGATCCCTGCAGAGATAGATAGATTTTTTTAAAGAGTGAGATCCTTTTTGTTTAACCATATTGATAAAAAAACATTAAATTTTACCTCTCTGGTCTACCGCTGCCTCGAGCGATTAATTCGTTTATGTAAGCTTAGCTTTGTTTTTTATGGTTTGTGTTATTGTGTGACTTTGGTATTTTTAACCCAGTTAGTAGAGTTGCAACAATTAATCGCTTAGGTGCCAGCTATTAAATTAATTGCCAGCTGTTTTGATGATCGATTAATCGGTTTTTAAGGGAAAAAAATCCAATTCTCTGATTCCTGCTTCTTAAATGTGAATATTTTCTGGTTTCTTTACTTCTCTATGACAGTAAACTAAATATCATGGGATGGGGCATATGCAGGGTGCAACATGGGCTGGTCACCAGTCGGTGTCAGGGCTAACACAGAGCTCTGTCTCATGATGAGAGCAGAAATTTTTTGTTGTTATGCTGACAATTTCTGGCATTCAGAGACAAAAAAATGTATCTTATATTCTCTCATTAAGGTCCAGTATGCAGAAGGAACAGCCTTGCTTGAGCAAGCACAGTCCTCGTGCTGTGTCCAGCAAGAATGCTAAAGATAAGAGCAACAGTACGACCCTGCTGGCAATGCATAATACTAAAGATGCAGACGACTCCAGTGGAAGGGGCTCCCGCTGCAGTTCAGAGAAAGACTCTGGCTACTCTGGTGAGTAAATGTGGAAAATATCAGATAAAACCAGAGAATGACAATTTGCCAAGTTTTATTCTCCACTGCTATTTCCTGTACACTCACATTAACAAGTCAGCTCAGGCAGTGAAAATTATGAAAGCTCAACTGAACAAACAGTGCATTATAGTGGGTATTTTCTTGGATTTGAAATTGGAACAATGGCAGGTTATAGTGCAAACTTTCAGGTTTAATTTGATTAAGTTTACATCACACATCAAATGAAGAAAGTTAACATACACTAATTTAAGTAATCCAATTTAATATTTTGTGTCAAATTATTTGCTGCCAATGACCCATAGACTGCTGATGCAGCAAGTGTAATACTGTAACTGCCCAGCTAGACTGAGTGACTGAGTGACTGACTTGGCCAGTGGAGAATCTTTTAATCCAATTCAGTTTTATTTATATAGCACCAATTCATTATAAACGTTATGCACTTTTCATATAGAGCAGGTCTAGACTGTACTCTCAAAGCATGGCTTTACTTTGCAATACATCTACACAACACAAACCCAGATAATGCACATGTATATATCTGCGACGTTGTTCTTTCTCAGCAAATAGTTGTATTATTTTTCTCTATTCTTTTTATTATTCTTATATAACTTGTATTGTTTATTCCATATTTATATATTTCTAGATTTATTTATTTCAACTCTATGTTTTTGTTTCACCTTATCTCCAAAGCAAATTCCTCATATGTGTAAAACACTACTTGGCAATAAAGCGGATTCTGATTTTTCAGATTCTGATAAGTCAACCTTTCTAAATTCGCTCTGTTCCAGATGTGGAGGACCAGCGGAGCAACAAAAGCCAGTACAGATGTAGCGAGCGTGCAGAAACTTCACAGCCAGGTCAAAACCAAGGGAACCTTGGAAATCCTACGCTGATGCCAGCAGGCCATGAGCTCCCACACATCTACATCATCAACAATGTGACGCTTAAGCAGGTAAGACATGTGTACGCACAGACAGCAAACTATTCCTCTGCTTAAAATGATTATCTGTAAATGTATGTAGGAAGGTTAGAAATTAGGTGTTCCCAAGGCAGTGCGCAACAAGAGCAGTGTGACGATGGACTGAGGCAAGTAGAGAGCTGGCGGCTGAAAGAGTTATAAATGTAATAGACTGCATTGCAAAGTGAAGCAACAAGCTGCAAAATATCAAGAGATAGCTCAGGTGAACTTTGTGTTTTATCTGTGTCTCATACTTGCTTCCTTCTTCTTCCCTGTCCCACCAGCCGGACATGATCCAGAAAAGAGGTCAGCTGCCCCAGAGAACTGGAAGCAGGGAGAGCAAAAGCTCTGGTACTGCCCATGTTATTCTTTTACAGCAGCCCAGCTTGTTGCCGGCCACTCTCCAGCTCCGCAAGCCCTTGTCCCGAAAGTCCACTGCCACAGGGAAGAAAATAAAAGGTACTTACCTACCCATTCTTAACTCCTACCCCCGCATTGCACCACACCCCAGCAAGAAGCTGCCTGACAAATTGTCATCAAAAGATGAATCCCAGAATCTGAGCAAGAGGGTGTGCACAGAACACAAGGGTGATGGCACGCCTGTGTCACGGAGTCCACCTGAGCAACACCTTTATAAGCAACCCAAATTAGCAGCCATAACCAGAGATAGTCCATCCTCCTCCAGTCCCACTACTGTCTCCTCGAGCCAGGGCTCCCCATCTGGGACCAATCTGCACAGCGCCTCATCCTTCCTCGCAGCCAGAAGGCTTCACAGAAGTGGCACCACCAGTACTCACCACCGCCGTTTCCACAACACATTAGAAATCCTCAGACAGTCAGGCCTGTTGGACATTACACTGCGCACAAAGGAGCTGCTGCGCCAGAGCAACGCCATCGAGCGGGACATTACCCAACTCCGCCAGCACACAGAGCTACTGTGCCAGGCCGCCAGCAACCCCAGCTGCAGCCTCGAGAGTTTCACAGACTGGGAACACCTGCACCAAGCCATGGCTGAGTCTGGCAGCTACCCCGACCTCAAAATCCTGAAAAATGCACCAATGCCGTGTTGTCCAGATTCTGCCAGTCAACCCGAGAGGATTTCCACAGGTGATGCCAACTGGCCACAAGCTATGGAGAACTCAGAGGTGCCGCCGTCTTGCCTTCTCACCACTATACCGCACCCAAACCAGAACTGTCATGTGCCACAGCAGTCTCACTCAGAACAAGGCAGGGAGCTCGAGACCCGTTATAAATGGTCAGAAAAAGTCACCTTCGTGCCTCCTGATAGTTCTACTGGGTAGGACAATCTGCATTGTCTTTAAATGGAGAGCAAGTACTCAGGGCTAGCAAGTGGAGAACCAGTAGTTATTTTGGATATTATGTGTGGTTTTAATAGCTTATCCCTAGTTATTTAAACCTAGTTTTATAGAGATGGCACATGGCATCTCCGCAGGTCAATGGAGATCCAACAATGAATAGAGTTCAGTACTTGCTGTACATGTGGCTGTATAACCTTTGTTTCCAGTTGCCTAACGTACTTCACCAGAATTAAGTGTTTCGCATCTGAAAGCTGATCCCTAAGCAATTCAGTCCTGAGGCACCATTTTATATTGCCACTGCAGTGTTTATAAAACCACCCAGATGAGTGGAGGGTCTCTGTCTGTGAGCCACTTAAAGGATTATGTGAAAATAAAATATCCCCAGGAGGTAGAGGAAATTGGCTTACACACAGGTGACACTTAACGCAGTGATGACAACTACAGTATACATTATCAGTTAAGTTGGTCGTTTTGCTCACGTCAGACCAGCTTAATTCAGGGAAAAGAGGAATAAATCCATCTCTTGGTGGATAAATGTTGAGAAAATGATTTCTTACAACCTGCTTTACACGAGAGTGAGAGAGAGAGAGAGAGAGCAGTTCAAACAAGGTGATAATTAAGATCGGGGCCTTCAAGATGATGCAGCTAAGCTCCCAGAAATATGACACAACTTGTCGCTCAGCATTGCAGAGAGAAACCTCTCTGTAACATCACAAAGTGCACTACACTGGACTGCTGCAAGGACTTCAGTACAAACACTTCTCAACAGAGCCTTAAAAACTCTTTTTCACATCATCATTACATTTAGTTAATTTAAGTCTTTGTTCATTTTACAAATACTGCACACGACTTATGATAATGGACGCAGTGTAACCACAGACTGTGTGATTTCACCACAACATCTCCAAGATAATCAGTTGTACAATGTCCTTATCAGGCAGCAGCTGTCCGTTCTCACTTTGATGATATTCTCTTTTATTGCACCAATTTTTGTGTGGTCATCTATTTTAGTCATAGATGGAGGACAGTTTGCATTGTGAGTTTGAGAGAGTTTGACAGTGTTATTGTAAAAGTATGTTGACTAAGTGGTTATATGCATGTGGTATGTGTATGATTTATGTTTTTTTTCCCCTTCCATTTCTTTGCGCTTGTGTATATGACGGACAGCACTGCCGGCAATGCGCACATTTCTAAAATTTCAAGTACTTTATACGGTGTATTTTTCATGATTTTAAGGTATTTAAATAAAGCGATACATGAAGAATAGACTTTTCCTGTGTATCACATAAAGCTCATATCATAGTGGTATTTTTCTGCAATTAGTTCACATCACACAGCTGCTATGGAAACTGAAAAGAGTCGCCAGGGTTGCGATGCACATGTGAGAAGCGCATATGTGTGCTTGACTGTGCTCCATGAAAAGCCATGAAAATAGTTTCATTCCCAGTTTATCAGTTGAGCTCCATGGTGACAGAACGTCACTTGACATTGTGTTTTTATCCTTTTGAAATAAAGGAGTGATTTTGTTACGACAAAAAAGTGTATAATAAGTACATTGTTGTCACAGAGACAGTTGAAGAAGTAGGTAGTGTTTCATGTTAATGTGACATTTCACCTCCAATGTGTTTTCAATATATATTTCTAGGATCTGTTTAAAGTTCAACAGCATTTTGCACAGATATTTATTTTTGAATTATAAACATACACAACCTTGTGATGATTATGATCAGCATGATATAGTTCAAACAAAGTGTTTCTTGTCTTTGACCTTTGGACTGGGGAAAGATTTGGCACCCAGCTTTGATAGCTGGTTCTATCTTAGTTGTTGGACGCACATGCAGTCGACAAAAAGTTCAGGATCAAGTAACGTTTCATGTCAACTGAACCGGTGTTTCCTCTCCGATGTGTTGCAGCTGAGTTTCTCTCGTTTGGGTCAGTGAGTAGTGAGGGTCAGCTTGGCACAGATGATGGAAACGCTATGAAATTGAGAGAAATATTCAACATTTCAACAGAAGTACACCTAAACTTTCCATTGACCTGAAGCAAATCATGTAAAACAAGACATCTCTCTTATTGTTTTTATGGGGTTGCATAACGTGTTTATTGCATAGTTGTAATGGTGAAACAGCGTTCATGCAGTAATCTGTATCATTGGCTGTTGGCTGTTGGCTGATCCTTCACATTGGCACAAACTAAAAAGAGCGTAGCTTGTACTCTGGAAATTAACATCATAACTTGTGAAATGCAGACTTTGAGATTAATAAACTTGAAAATTTCCCTCACTCCAACATCATCATAGTAATACCTAAAACTGCAACTCATCTTGTAGATGGGATGTGAGATGTGACTTGTCTGTTGAATCATTTGAGTCATTTTGCTGAACTTCTTGAAGCTTATGAGAGGATATACATATGGTGATAAAATCTGTTTGATTACAGACAGACACTGCCCATATGCAAATCTCTCAATGTGTGAGTTAATGTTTTACATGTGGATTTCATGAGAAAAATAATCATTAAGCACGTTACTGGAACTTTGATTTCCATTTTGTTGTCTAAAATAAGAGCTTACTTAAGTATTCTGTCTGTCAGTTGTTTTAAAACAATTCCTTTTTCATTATGTGACATATGCACCGTGCTATTTCTTGAATTTTAATATCACAATCAATTACACAGTTGTCCTACCTGATGGATGGTCCCAGTCCCAGTTCCCAGCTTATACAGCACCCATCCCGGGACGAGCAGGATGGAGGAGAGCGCCAGTACCCAGCCCAACATGTATGCCCACGCTGGGTACACGTACCAGCGATTAAAGGTCATAGGCTGGTACCAAACTAAAGAACATATGAAACAGCCCTGAGGAAACAACAGAAACAGAGATTTGGAAGTTGGAAGACACATTCAGGTGTACATGGTGATAAGCACCATGGGGTTAGTTGTTATGTATGTATGTATGTAACACTGAAACCACCACTCACCAGTGAGACCAGTGGTGTGAGGTAACGCCAGCAGATTTTAAAGAACGGGTTGGCGCGCACATCTGTCATGTCCTTTACAATGCGATACAACCGTTCTGCCCCTTTATAGGAGATAAGGTTGGATGAAGAGGTTGTGATGACCACATCAAACTAGACATTTGTGAATGACTTGGTGTGATTTAAAAGGGAACTCCGTTCATTTTTATACATAAAGGTCAGTTTACTGGTGCCTTTAAGATCAGCATACCTACCAAACATCCATCCCAGTGCCAGGCTTTCAAATACACAGAGAAAGAGGATGCAGGCTCCGTTACAAGCGTAGTAGTCAAACAACTGGAACACATACATTCCCCCCTGGAGACAACAGAAAAGACATTTATATAACATGGTATAGGTTTGTTATTGTGAGTCATAAGTTGAAACAGTCTTGTTATAATGATGAACAAAATTGCAATAAAAAATGGAGATATTTTGGCACATTTGTAAATATTACACTATATACTGACCTCAGTGATCATGACAAGCTGTGAGAAGAAGCATGTGACGCAGAAGAGGAGTAAGAAACATTCCCGTCGGCCTGCCCTGCGCATTTGTGTAGGAAACATATCGATGATGGACGTTATCACCACGTCCATGGAAACAAACTGTACAGACAAAAAAACGATCCAGGATAAGTACATTTCCAAACATAACTGTGTTCTTCCAAAAAGACTTCATGCATATCTCACTTGTGTGTCCAGACCCAGGAGGATGAGCATGACAAAGAAACAGATGGACCACAGCTGGGGCACAGGCATCATGGCTACAGCCTGAGGGTATGCAATGAACGCCAATCCTGGACCTGGAAAACAAGATCAGAAGGCAAGGCAAGTTTATTTGTATAGCATATTTCAACAACAAGGCAATTCAAAGCGCTTTACTTTAAACATAAAAGCGACATGAATTCAGTCTCAATTTAAAAGAACTGACATTTTCAGCAGACCTACAGTTTCCTGGGAGTTTGTTCCAGATATATGGAGCATAAAAACTGAACGCTGCTTCTCCATATTTAGTTTTCAGACGACCTGAGAGGTTTGGATGGTTTATAGCAAAGCAGAAGATCCGAAATGTATTTTGGTCCTAAACCATTCAGTGCTTTATAAACCAACAGCAGGATTTTGAAATCAATTCTGACAGACAGGAAGCTAGTGTAAAGACCTCAGAACTGGAGTGATGTGATCCACATCACCAGCAGCAGCGTTCTGAATCTGCTGCAGCTATCTGATGGATTTTTTAGGGAGCCCTGTAAAGACACCGTTACAGTAGCCGAGACGACTGAAGATAAATGCATGGACAAGTTTTTCCAGGTCCTGCTGAGACGTAAGTCCTTTGATCCTTGATATATTCTTCAGGTGATAGCAGGCTGACTTAAAAATTGTCTTACTGTGGCTTAAATTCAGGTTTGAGTCCATGACTACACCAAGATTTCTGGCTTGGTTTGTGGTTCTTAATATTACCGATTGAAGCTGAGCACTGACTTTCAATCGTTTTTCCTTGGCTCCAAAAACAATAATTTCAGTTTTAACTTTGTTTATTGAAGAAAATTCTGTCACATCCAACTGTTGACCTGTTCAATACAGTTACTCAGCGCTTGTATGGGATCATAGTCACCCGGTGATATGGTTATGTAAATCTGTGTGTCATCTGCATAATTATGGTAAAATATTTTGTAGTTTTCCATAATCTGAGCCAGCGGAAGCATGTAAATGTTAAACAGAAGAGGCCTAAAAATGGAGGCTTGGGGAACTCCACTAGTCATTTTTGTTAGCTCAGATGTGCGATTACCTATAGACACAAAGTAGTCCCTGTCCTTTATTCAAACCAGTTTAGTTCTGTGCTAGAAAAGTCCAACCCAGTTTTCAAGTCTGGCAAGTAATATGTTGTGGTCGACTAAGTCAAATGTAGCACTAAGATCCACTAAGATCCAATAAGACGAAGGCTGAAGTTCTGCTACTGTCATTGTTTGAATGGATGTCACAGACCTTAGCAAGAGCCGTCTCAGTGCTATTGTGTGGTCAAAGTCCTGACTGGAAGACATCAAAACAGTTATTTAGTGCCAAGAAAGCACTAAACTGTTGAAAAACAGCTTCTTTCAATGATTTCACTATAAAATGGGAAAGTTGATATGGGCCTATAATTGCTCATTAGTGACCTGTCTAGATTGCTTCTTTTTAAGAGTGGCTTAATTACTGCCGTTTCCAGGGCCTGTGTGGAAAAAACCTGAGAGAACAGACATGTGACAATTTGTAGAAGATCTGAGGCCATGCAATCTGAAACATTTTTCAATAAACCTGTTGGCAGAATATCAAGGCAGCAGGAGGTGGATTTCAGATGTTGTATTATGTCCTCCGGGATTTTATGGTTAATAGAATCAAACTGTGTCATGCTATTTGAATTGTTTTTAAGTGGACAAAGGGACAACACATATCCTGTACCTGACATGGAGGCATTGATTGCTTGCTTGTCTCATTGTTTGGATTATGTCTGTGAAGAAGGAGGCAAATTCATTGCAGGCCCTGGTGGATAGAAGTTCAGAGGCTACAGACACAGGAAGGCTGGTTAGCCTGTCGACAGTAGCAAACAAGGCGCATGCATTATTATTGTTTTTGGTGATGATGTCAGAGAAGAAGGGCCGTGTTGTCAACAAAAAGTGTGGATTTGTGCATTTTATATAAAATAATTTGGAGACTCAAAATTCCTTCTCTCTCTCTCTCTCTAATCACTAGTAAATAATTGTATAATTATTAAAACGCTACCCAGAGGTCCGGAGACTCTGGGTGAATTAAATAATAATAATAATAATAATAATCTTTATTTGTAGAGCACTTTTCAAGGCTCTCCTATAAAAGTATGTTTTAAGAAGGGACTTAAAAGAGTTCACTGACTCAGCCGACCTGATTTCCTCGGGCAGGCTGTTCCAGATCCTCGGGGCCCTGACAGCAAACGCTCTGTCCCCTTTAGTTTTCAGTCGAGACTCTGGAACAGACAACAGACCTCTGCCCGAGGATCTCAAGGTACGTGCTGGTGTGTATGGGACTAAAAGGTCAGAAATATAACAAGGCGAGAGGCCATGAAGAGCTTTAAAAGTGATCAATAAAATTTTAAAGTCAATTCTACAACATATTGGGAGCCAGTGTAATGAAGCTAAAATTGGGATTATGTGGTCATATTTCTTTGTTCTGGTTAAAAGCCTGGCAGCTGAGTTCTGGACAGTCTCCGGTGGTTCCCCCGCGAAACGAGAAGCTTTATGAATTAATATCCTCTGAATATTAAATTCAGAATTTTGTATTAATTAATAGTTTATTAAAAACATAAGTAGACATGCTACAGACGCCTTGCATTTCTCAGTTCTAAATTATAAATGTGAAGTCTCTCTATATAGATGTCATAATGAACCTGGATATTTGTTTTCCACCACCTGCACACAGCTTTTTGACACTCTCCAGCGTGGCATTTCTCCATGGAGATCTTCTCTTACCAGAGACCACCTTCACCTTGGCTGGTGCAATGGCATCAATAACATTTGTAATTTTAGAATTGAAATTATCTACTTTTTTTGACAGGTTGCGGCTGACGATGAATTAATACTAAATGTGCAGGATATGTTGAGTGCTTCCTGTTTCTTCACATATTCACCATTCTTTTTCTGTTACGTATCAAGATAGGAATTGAAAAGGCTACCAGCACACTGGGTCCAGGGTGTCTGGAGATAAGGGTGACCTGCATGGGGATTGGAGACCTGTAGCCTTTTACTTTCTGATTTACTCTGTGTGAGGATGGGATGTTATCCAGGTCATCAGATGGAGATCCAGGGTCCTGCAATAGTGGTGAAAATCTGTTCTGATGTTGCACACCCGCTTGTTGGTGAGGTCTTTTGGTAACTCTCCCTTACGCAGCTGTCCACGGCGGTGTCCTACTAAGAACGGGGGGTTGAAGAGTTGCATCACAAATCTCAGCGAGCTGGGTTCTGCCTGTTATGCGTCCTTCCATTTCCTGGGGAAATGATTTACTCTTAGGCTTTGCACCAAGAGAGTTCCAGGGAGGACTACCACTTTTAGATTTATTACCCAGTACACAGGCCTCCTGTGTCTTGTTAGTTGTTTTGGTGCTAATTAGCTGTGTGCTAGCATGCTCTTGTCCACTGTTTTGGGTCCATGGTAAAGTAGTGTCATTCCTAGGGGTGGGGGAAAAAATTGATATAGCATAGTATTACGATATTTTCCGTGTCAATACTGTATTGATATACCGATATAAGTATCGATCTTTTATTTAATGAACTGTACATGAGAATTTTACTTTTTGGTACTATAATAATGAAATCAATTGTTTTTTCAGTCTACTAGAAAAATAGTTTTCCTTTGGGAACACAATCTGAAGTTGGAAAAAAGGTAATAAATTCCAATACATCGCAATATGTTTAAAATTGCAATAATATCATATCGTGACATAAATATTGTGATAATATCGTATTGTGGGGCCTCTGGTGATTCCCACCCCTAGTCATTCCCACATAGTCCATTCACTTCCACATTTACTTCTAACCTGTGGATCTTGGTTTCCAGCCCTGCAATTTTCTGTAAATGTTTGGGGAGTCGTCCGTGGAGAAGGGTGGAATCTTGCATTAGCTACAACTCCAGTCACTGCAGTAAAGCTAGTGCTATTGATAGGCCGCATTCGCGTAGCACTTAAATTATAAAAGTGTTTAACGGCAATAACCTACTTTATCCGAATAGATGACAGTCCCAGTGATTTAAAAGTATCCAAGAGCTGCTGCTCATAATTTCTAGCAGGAAAAAACAGAGTTTCAGCCAAAGACTGCATGCAAAGGCAAGAGCAAGCAGTAAAGCGTCTGCAATGTAAGAAAGCAGAAAATTTCCACACCAGGCAGAGTTGGTTGCTGTTTAGCATCAACGACTTTGCAAAGAAAAAGGTAACTATGCATCCAGATGAAGCAGTGCAATTCCAGTCAACTAAGCAACACATTCATAACCACCTCCTCTGTGTCTCAAGATGGAGGGAACTGGGGAAGTTACAAAGGGCTTTACAATCCATCTGGAAGGACAAAGTGTAGATGAGGAGAAACGCAAGTATAATAATGAGTGTCTACTGATGACTGAGGGAATGTACTGCAGCTAGTCGTATTCATTTGCTTTCAGCAAGAGCAGGAACGCAGCGCAACTACTGTGACAACCAACTCTGCCTGGTGTTTATCGCCAGCTTAATTTACTTCATATAACAAAAGTACTCATTCTGCAGTAAAATGTCCCCAGTGACTCATACATTTCACATAATTAGTTTGTTGATACTAATGCAACAATGTGTAAGTAGAAAACAGTAAGGTTGTAGCTGGTCGAGGCAGAGCTAGTTTAAACTACTTTATGTACAGTTCAGTAGTTAGAGGTCAGACTGCTTCATTTTTTGGACTTTTTTTTCACATTTATGAGTTTATTGTGAAGTATTGGAAAATTTGACCTCCTTGGGCCTTAAAGGTTCAGTGTGTAAGTTTTAGTGGCATCTACTGGTGAGGGTTGCGAATTGCAACCACCGGCTCACAATGCATTCACATGCTCCTCGGATGGTCCCATTTCCGGTGTGTGAAGTGGTTCTTCTGACTTCAGTGTGCGTTCATGTGCTCTTAAGTCAGAATGTGGAATCAACATGACACTACTACAAAGATTTGTTGCATTTTCATTAAGATTTAGGGAAGAATAAGGCTGGACAATTTCACCTAAAATCAAAATCACGATTAATTGAACATTTTACCTCGATTACGATTAATGAACAATTATTTTATTTTTGATTGTTGTTTTTTGCCCTTATAGTTCACCGACAAGTTTTTTCAAATGTAAATATGCTCATATGCTATTAAAGCTGGGTTTATTTTTCATTCATTACAGTCAAAATTTGATTAATTAAATGTTAATTTATAAGGTAAAGCACATAACAGAGACATGGTTACCCCATATTTGGCGCAACGCCACTGCTACTAACATTTTGCACAATTATTAATAACAATGTGGTAATAATCATTGTCACTCACACTGTGTGAGCACGGTAACACTCAACGTCTTACTAGCTTTCTCTTCTGATTCTTAAAAGGACATCGACGTGACAGTGGTGTTATATGAGCAGCGGAGTTAATTTGAGTCTTTTAAGGGCAGTGCAGTGTGTGTGTAGCGAGTGAGTGGATGAGCGAATGTGAAAGAAGAAGCGGTAGAAAGTGACGTTAAAAGCAAGTAAGTTGTCAGTCTGGCAGTAAATGTACAGTGAAGGTCACACTGCTGGAAAGGCTGTTCGTGCTAGCTAACATCTGGAAACTGAGCAGGACTGGAGGGGACAGAGTCACGTGACCACACACGTAGTAGTGTGTTTTTAAGGGGAAATATTAACAGTATTAAATAACCGACATGGTAAAATTACATCGGTGAAAGGCTGAATTTCCGTTTCAATTAGTTGTCCAGCCCTAGGGAAGAAAAAAAGATCACAGCTCACCCCTCCCGATCCAAGCGTGCAGGAGAAGCTATAGTGGTTGACACACTCTGTCGGCTCATGTGCTAAGCAATACGTATGAGCCTCCATATGTCCAAATTTCTCGTCTTTTCTCACTTCTAATAAACATGTCGACTTATACTAATACTAACGTTACTTGTTCTTCTTCTTCGTACATGTTCAGCGTGTTGAGGAAACGCGCTCTGTAGCGCTGTTTGTCTGTTTGGGCTTCTGTAGAAACTTGTTTGTGCAACATGGCAACGTCCATGTAAGGGGATCCGCGGTATGTTGATAGAAAAGGCTCATTCTAAGGTAATAAAAACATAACTGTTCATTATGTAAAGTATTTATACACCACTGAAAACATAGTTATGAATATTATATTGCATTTCTGTCAATAGATCCTCTCACACATTACACACTGGACATTTAAACCATTTAAGAAGTTTAGAGGATAAATGTCTCTTGCTTGGAACCGATAACAACAGTGACAACTTAAATGTGACAAAGGGCCCGAACCAGACACAGTCGCAAGCCAAGTGGTTGGGAACCACTGGTTTAATCTTAACAATGTTTGTATATTTTATCAGCATCTTATATGTTTAATATGTAACATTTGAATCTGTAAAGTAAGTAGTCAAATAAATGTACTGGAGTAAAGAGTCCATTATTTACCTCAGAAGTGATCTACCTACTCAGTTACTTTACACTAACCCTAACCCTACTTTCTACTGAATTTAGAGTTGGTGACTTTGTACTGAGATTTCTTTTCACAAAATTACAAAAATTTCGATCACACCCAATAACATTGGGCACAAGAAGAGACTGCATGTCTCTCCGGCGTCTTGCATTACCTGACTCGGCCACTTCTGCAATGGGAACACCCTGCTCATGAGCCATGAATCCCAGCACAGAGAAGACTGCAAACCCAGCTACAATACTGGTGCACATGTTCAGTAAACACAGCCACAGAGAATCTCTGCAAAACATAAAAACATGTGCATACTCTGACTTCACAGCACGTAATTGATCATGTTTAAGATGTTATTGCGTTGCTCTTGTCCTTTATTGATGTCAGATATTGTGTCAGTGACACACTAACAAATACTTACTTATAGCAGTTGTTGTTGTACGTGTTGTAGCTGGCCATCACAGTTAAGGAGCCCACACCCACACTGTACGAGAAGAAGATCTGAGCCGCAGCCTCCATCCAAACCTGTTGCAACATAGCAACAGTGAGTACGTGTATTTGTCCACCTTAACCCTGTTACAATATACTGCTATTGCGGTCCTACCTGAGGGTCTATGAGTCGTGAGGGTTCGGGCAGAAGATAAAACAACACTCCCTGTAGAGCCCCAGGAAGAGAGAGCCCACGGATCAAAAGGATTAACAGCATCACATAGGGGAAGGTAGCAGTGACATACACCGCCTGGAGACAAAAGAATGACCGTTCAGGCATTTAAAAACATACTGTATACAAATGAACTACAGTTTTAGGGCATATAAATACCTTTCCTGTAGACTTGACCCCTTTCCAGATACAAAAGTAGCAGGTGACCCACATAGCAATAAGGCAGACTAGAATTTCCCACCTGATGCTGCCGATCTCCTCAATCCCACCTGAGATAGCCAGCACTCGTCTTCTATTAGGAAAAAACATGGGCAAAATGTTGAAATGAGACTCATTGGGACTGATTTTGGCACATTTAAAATGAACCTAGAGGCTTTGTTTGATCATCTACTGTACAAAGACATACTCCCAGAATTCTGTTGCAGCAGAGGCTGTGTCGGTCTGGTTGGTCCACGCAGAGGTGTTATTTCCTGTTGAAAGGTCTACACAGTCATCTGAAAGGACAGTGAGAAAAACACATAATGCATGTATTTAAAAACTCTTTGGGAGACATCTGGCAGGGAGGGTTTTTGAGAAACACTATCCAGTTGCATTATAGGGAATGTATGAAACCAGTGCTTTTGAATCTTTAACCTTAGGGAAGAACGGTGAGGATATCTCGGCCTCTGTTGCTCTGATTTTGACCATCCCTATTTTGATCTCTCTCACAAGTCTTCCAACATTATGTTCAAAACTAAATCACAGTAGGGGTCTGTAATTGAGATAAAATGTTCTGATATCTGCATCTTGACATCAGTACATCATTCAAATGTTAGTAGTTTGACAGTTTCCATTTTACCTGTGTTCCAGTAGTTGTTGCAGCTGGCCCAAGGGAGCTGGGAGCTGAAGGAGAACACCAGGTAGAGCAAAGCCCAGGACAGAATAATGATGTAGGTCATACAGCTGTAGAAGAGGATCAACTGCCCGCCATAGCCGATACCTGCGGGCCCAGATGTAGTGCTTTGTTACAGACAGTCATTATCAGAACCTTACTTCCTCCAGTTATTAATTTACCCAAAACACTTATTGTTCAGGGTCACAGGAATCTGACTGACCAAATCTACAAAAACTGCTTAGTCGAGCAAAATCAGTAAAATTAAAATAAAAGTTATACAACTGAAAATGTCTTTAAATATTAATACATTTTTTTAACCTTGGAATTTAGGGTCACAGAGTGAGTGATACTTTTGTAAATGTTTGCCTTGTACTGACCACCATGAAAGAGCTCTGATATGATATGTGGATGTGTTTGCTCCGTTCATTTGGTGGGTAATGTGTTACCGCCTCTCTCGGGGTTCCATTGTGAATACAATGAAACATTGAACTGCCCTAACTAAAGAAAGGAACTTTCCACAGTGGCAAAGGGACCGACAATGAAACTACCAGCTACTTTTGGAGCTAATCAGTCATTATGAGATGTGTCCAGTTTTCTGTGAATCTTGGTCCAGCTCTGTGTGGTTTTTACAGCAGAGGACGTGTTTGCCTTGCTGTGCTACAATAAAGTCCTGAACAGTATACCTTCTGCCAGTGGGCATAGCTTCCTCCAGCAAGTGATGCCGCCCTCCTGAGTATACTGGCCTATGACCGTCTCCAGCAAGAACAGGGGTACGCCACAGGTCACCACGAATACCAGATATGGCACAAGGAATGCACCTGAATGTACAAAGTATACAACATTGTGTACCTGTACCACAGAATTTGGGTAACAGGTTGTGAGCATCATATTTGCTTACCCCCTCCGTTTTTGTAGCAGAGGTAAGGAAACCTCCACACGTTGCCCAGGCCGATAACATTTCCCGCCACGGCCAGGAGAAACTCCATCTTACTTCCCCAGTGTCCTCTCTCCTCCAACTCCACTTGCTTGCATTTTCTTGTGCATTTTTTATTCAACATGGCCAAAAGCTCAGTCTTAACCCAGTCTAATTCTTCTTATCCAATATTCTTTGTCTCCAGGTTTTCCCTGCCTTTATATTCACTATATAATCTGTCAGGTAATGTGTAACTGCACAAACAGTTAATCAGTTCTCAGTGTGAATGTAAATTATCTCTAGGATGAGCAAGAATGGACCGGACGGACAACACCAAGTCCTCTAGTGTTTCTCAATGGAGGCGGTACCGCCCCCCAGGGGCGCTGGAACCAATATTTTGGAAGGGGGGGCGCTTGTTGGTAGGAAATTGTAATGCGAGTTTACACTTAAGATTCACAACAATACGAGTTTAAACTTTAAACTACTTGCAAAAAACTGTGGTCTGCAACATTAAAAACCTGCCAGTTTAGTCCACTGCGACTGGACGAGACTGTGTATTTTTTTCTCCATCAGCTACTTGTGGTGCAGCTTCGTGCTGCGTACGGGAAATCAGAGTATCATCTCTAAAATTTTACCCACATGCCATTTACTGTGTAAACTCTGGAACATTGACGCTCTCTTTCTTTGTGGAAAAGTGTTTATTTCTCTGAGGAATAAACCGTGAACGTCTTGTTATTGCAGTGGTTACACATTTATAAGAGAGATATTCCGCTGTCGACACCATCAAGTGACGTGGACCCACCTCACGCTGTGAGTCGCAGACAGTTTGTGCCAAAGCGGACATATACAGTAGTTTCAGTAAGTTATAAAAATGTAACATTAAAAACTGAAGCCCTGTCTTGCTCTGTTGGTATTGTAAGCGGCGCTTTATCAGAGGTGCTGAAGTTAACGTGTGGAATTATTCGTGAGCTTTCTGTCTGATCACGGGTGTTGTCTGTTAGTTATTCGTTTTCCCCTGGCATGAGCACCTCCTCCTCTCATTCAGTTTAGTCTGTTAGACGGCGAGAGGAAACTTCCAGCGAATCAGTAACATAATGCAGTATAGGGCATGTAGTTAAATTTTATGAATTCTCTTTAAATAGGCAAATGACGTTAGTCTCCCATTACTACTTTTTTTATTTACATGTCAGAGAACTCAGATATGTGGGAGCAATTCTGATTGTGCAGAAAGGTTTGAACATGAGCAGATAAGTTACAGTGTTTCCCATACGTTCATTTATTTGTGGCGGTCTGCCACAATATCAGCGCTGACCGCCACATAGGCTATTGATTTTCGATTTTTTTTTACTAGGCCTATTTAAAATCGTATTTCAGCTGCAGGCAGCGCATATTCGCGCAGAACATCCTCTCACTCGTCTCTCGATTTCTCGCTCTCTCTCCCTCGTTAACACAGCTGCACAAATCTGTCCAACATAACGCTTTTATTGTCAGAGACCTAGCTATTAAAAGTTATTAGCAAGCATGTAAGGAGCCTAGCTAATACGGAGAGTTAAATTAACGTTAGGAAACAGCTGGGTTTTCGAGGCTAGCATGCTGTAAACTGCGCCACAGTTACACTGTCATTCTGTGGGAAACACTGAGTTATGGTAAGTTATTAACAGATGAGCTAATAAAGTCCAGTCAATAACTGAATTAAAACAGATTAATTTATCACTGAGATGAAAAGAGGCCACAAACACAATTAAATAGGTTACTTCCCCACAAAAGAAGTGGTAAGACTTAATCATGTGTGTTGACTCAGCAGGGATGATATTAAATAACTTACAGGAGAAAAATATTTAAAAGCAATAAGAATGGCTGAGAGCTTCACTAGATTATATTCTAGGAACATTCACTTATTAGTTAAATATAATTACTTTTCACATGGCGTTTTTGTTACCTTTTCCATGTTTTTAATAACAATAGTAACAATAAAAAAATCAACAACATTCAGGGCAACCATCTTTTTTGATGTGTGTAATAGACTTCGTGCACGGATGCATGGTTCTTAATCTCTATTTACTTGTATATATTTTTTTCCTTTACATCCAAAACAATTGTATTATTCCGTGGCTGAAAAAGTGGTGTCAAATAATTCAAGTCATTGACGGTAACATTAAAGTGATTCGTTCTTTATTAAGTGTATCTTCTTTAGAAAAACAGTAGCAAGCACATATTCAGCAACAAGACATGTTTCTTTGCACTTAAAGTACAAGTGCACCTATTTCAAAATACATTTGTTCTTGCAGTTTGATCTGTCTCTGTCCTTTTGTACCATTTTGTGTAGCTCTGTGTGTGGGCTGCTGGAATCCAGTGATCAACACATAGATTGGTTTGACCTGCAAAACATTTGTAATCACATCCACCTAAAGCATAAAAGAACACAGCAGACCCAACAAGACAAAGACACCTGTAAGTGTAATCCGTTCAGCCCCACTGGTATCTATACTCGTGTCTGTTGGCTGCCTCTGCTGGCCAGATGTTAGACGGCAGCGCTTCATGTTTCCAGCTGTGTCCCACACCAGAAGCTCTGCCTGAGCAGAGCAGCAGCTGGATGTGTACCTCACCCACAGTGGCTGAGATGAACCCAGATCCCATTCAGATACATTTAATGGGAGGTCTCCTTTCTGTAATCTGGCCTTGTTTTGGTGGTCGTGGTCTCTGCTTTTGGTCTTGTCCCTGTGTTCCTGTTCCTGGTCGGGACTGGACTGGGCCTCTCCCAGGCTGTCCTCTGTCAGTGGGAGGCTGTGGAATAAAGTCACAATGCCTTCACCCTTCTGTAGCTGGAGAGCAGCGAGGCCGGAGCGCCCCCTGTCTGACACGACCAAAGATACAGTCCAGCTAGACTCGTTGCAAATGGAAGGACAGGTAGATTGCACGTGTGTCGGGGAGCAGGATGGTGGGGACGTGTCAGGATCCTGCAAGAGGAAGTGATATCAGTGCCTTACACAGAAAGTCTATTAACCTGTTTAAGAGGAATGAATAATCTGTACTCTCAGTTTTATTAAATCAAATGTGAGGCTGTTGATTAATATCTTACACTCTACTTTAACTTTTACTCTCTGGTTTTATCTTGTTTTTGTTATCTATCTAACTCCTTAATTGTATTTAAATGTCTTTTTATATTGCTCCATGTTGCTTTAATGTTTTATGTAAAGCAGTTTGAATTGCCTTGTCGAAATGTGCTATACAAATAAACTTGCTTTGCCTTGACTTACAAATGAACCACAGCAGAAGTCTCTAAAAAACAATAAAAGTAGACTACAAACAAATTGTGTCTTTATAGTCTTTAGTTAGTGCTCACCGGGGGGACCACAGTCAAGTAGGCCACTGCATAATTTGAGTCTGGTGAGTCAAGAGCATGCACAGTGAGGGTAAGGGTGACGGTTGCTCCTGCCTGAGCCGTGGCAGGAGTGTGGAGGTCCACCTGACCGCGGAAAGACCCTTGTTCCGCAACATGAAACCTGAGGGACAGAAACTCAAACTTAAAGAAGAAAAATGTCCCCATAGTTCAAATTATATACTACTGTAGAGAAAAAAGTCCTCAAAAGCTGTGAAACTACCTGTGAGGCCCTCTCTTATGAAGATATCCACAGTCGTCATCAGCAGTCAGACTGAAGGGTCGGGCCGTGCCATGGTTCAGGATGTCAAAGTTCACCGTTGTGCTGTGACCAGGTACCAGGCGGGGGACAGAATACACCTGACGAGATAGAGACACACAAACTATGAAAGACTATCACAGTAAACCGAGTGGATTATGGTACATCAATGTGAAATTGTATGAATCACAAAAAGCGTGAACACAGAGATGTGTATGGAAAGTTAGGGAAAAGTCATAAGACTTTAACTCTACATGAAAATGTAACACAACCAGCAGATTGGCTATTATAGTGCTACATTGGTTTCTATTGCTAATAATAATGTAGCAGCAATAATTGATTTGTCCACTTGGGAGCAGCATAACCTGCAGTAGTCATGAGACTGACATACAGTGTTATGTTAGCAAAAGTGGAAATGTCTGAAGCAAAACAGTTAAGTTGCAGGCCATAAAATCAAAACAACGTGAGCCAAAAGACACTAAAATGCTCCTTAAAGCTGTGGAGGACTGCAGAATCGAATGATAATTGTTTGTCACTAAAATCAGCACCTTTCCATGGGCACATGTAGTTACTTATAACATTGTTTATATAAAAATATTGATTAGTGCAGCTTTAAATGCATTGTAGATCACTGAAGAACACTGACTTTGTTTGACAGAACAGGTATTATGTTGGAGGAATAAACATCATTAAAGCATATAACACCTGAGTAAACAGAATTGAACCACTTATAACCTGTATTTCAACGTGAGTGGGCTGAACCATCTCTGTTGAAACCCTCTCCAGCTTGTTTCCTCTGCTGTCTTGGCCTGTTAGTCGAGCATAGAACGAAACTCTGGGAACAGAGTCCACCCATCCCACCAGCTCCTCCACAGAGTAGGATGATGAAGAGGAGGAAGAATTCAGCTTCACCAGCTGGATGATCTCACCATCACCTCCCAGCAGCGTCAAGTGACTGAAAGATACCTCCTCCTCTGGAGCCAGGCCTGTCACAGCCACAACCAGATAGGCAGGGACACCTGGGAAAATAAATTAGGAAGAAGGCAGTTTTGCTAAATGGCAGGCACATTCCTTGGTGTAAGACTAGGTGTAATAAGCTGTCAGAAAGAAAAAAATCACCATCACTTACCTGCCACAGGACTACCCTCGACTCTGGCAAGACCTGGGTGTGTCTCATTGGTTACAGTGGCAAAGTAATACAGGAAATCTATACTGCTGTCAGCTGGGGGTGCAGATTAAATGACAAATCTTAAATGGTAAAGTACATAATAACTTTTGTACCAGTTTATGTGTTAGTGGATTTCTTCAAAGTCTAACATGTATTTTACCTATTACATTGAATATGAGATGTCCATCACTCTTGGTTTGGAGTTTCCACTGGCCTGGCTGCATAGGAGAGAGTAGGCTGATGCGGTACAGACCATCGAACCGCTCCACCTCTGCCAGAGGGCTTTGCTCGCTCAACAGAGACTGGCTTTGGTCTGACAAGGAGAGGAAGTTGAGTAAC